TCTCGGTGATGCTCCACTCGGAGAGCTGGTCGCTAATCGCTTTCAGCTCGTACATGCCACCAGGAGCGTCGGTCAGCTTGAAGATCTCCCAGTGGTCGTTCTCGGTGGTGATACTGAACACGCCTTTGAACGGGTTGGTGCCGATCTTGATTGACGGGCTCCACTTCCCTGCGTTCTCGAGGTGCTTGCGGGCGAGCGGCCAGAGGGCGCTCAGGACGCGGTTCTTCTGGCGGGCTTGCAGCGGCATCTCAGTGGATGAAGGGAGGCGTTGCGGTAGTCCTGCCATGTCACGGGGTTCGCGAGGAACCAGTCATGGAAGTCGCGGGCCTTCTGCTCAGAGTTGAAGGTGACGGCGAACGCTTGTGATACTTTGTGGAACTGACCTGTCATCCCTTCGCTGATGGCGGAAGGAAGTCGGCTCTTCATCTGGTTGAAGACTGTGCGCCTATACGGCTCGGTGACTGGGCGCGGAAAGCCGCTGATCCACCGTCTGGTAGGGTCGATCTGGTTGTGCTCGTCGTTGGCGAGATCGATCATTGGAATCTCGGAAGCGCTGGAGCCAGCACTGGTGCCCCTTCCTAAGCGACGAGTTTTGGATGGCGGCCGAGTTGAAGCGGAGCCTGCATCGGACGGAGCTCGCTGAAGCTCGGCAAGGGACGCTTCAAGCCTGGCCATCTTCTCGTTCATCTGACGTTGAATCTCGAGCCCTGCGTTTTTGGCGGTGGGGTTGCCGTCCTCGGTGTCGAAGAAGGCAGCGTTGGTGGCGGCTTCTTGATGAGCATGCTCGAGTCGAGACACTCTCAGGTCCATGTCGAGAACGAGGGCTTGGTGGGCTTTCTTAGCTTCTTCGAACTTGTCCTCCATGGCGAGCTCGAAATCGGAAATCTTCTCCTCCAGTCCTTCAGCGACGGCAAGACGTTTTTTGACATCTTCGATGTCGTCCCTCATGGCGTTCATGCCGCCGTTCATCCCTTCTAGAACTTGGAGCAACTGAGCATTGGATACCTCGGCAGCGGCCATTGCACTGCAAGGAAACGAGACGATAGACAAACTGGGTGGCAAAATGCCTCAATGCGCGAAAAAGGGTCAACCCCCGACCCTGATGTCGCGGGCCGAGTCGGGAGCAGCCCTGCTCTGACCTGGCCAGCTGCCTTGAGGATATGGCAACTTGAGCCAAAATGGCTACGGAGGAGGAGGAGGAGGAGGAGCTGGGGTCCCCGGGGGCAGGCGCCCGCTCCTCCAAGGAGCGCAGGCCCCGCACCGTGAACCCGGCGGGGGCCTGCGGCTCGGGCGGCCCGGCCTCCATGGCGGGCAGCGGCGCCGAGCCCATCGAGCAGGAGGTCGACTACAGGGTCGATCCAGGGAAGATAAAGTGACATACGGCAGGTTCGTGTCGTGCCGACCCCAGCGTTGGTTTTTGACACCGCGCTGGATCGTTCAACCTTGAACGATCGGCCGCTGCCGCAACGTCCGATCGTTCAACATCGCTCGATTCTGGATCGCTGGCGGCGTTCAACCTTGAACGCCCGCGCTGGGGTCGCCGCTGGCTACAGAGTTGCAGTGTTTACATCATGGACTCTTTTGAACCCGCCAACGAGTGAATCTCTGTTGTACTAGCATGGTTGTCATCTTTGCTTTCTATGACTTATATCGCCCATTCGAGGAACCAGAGTCAAGGGCCCTCCAGAAACATTGATCAAAGTATTTCCCACCGACCCAGATCCAGGGGAACAAAAAGTGACATAAGCATAAAAACTCGGAGGTCCGCGCGGATTTCTCGGATCGGCGCCGGAGCCCCCTCCCTGGCGCGCGGAGCGCGCCAGGGGCGGCCCCCGAGGCGCCGCCCGGGGGGCCCCAACGCCGATCCGAGAAATCCGCGCGGAGGTCGACTACAGAGCTGATCTGCCCCAAAGTTGGTTCCCTCATCGGGTCTACACGTAGCAGTTTCCTCAGCGACTACAGAATGAATTGATCTGCCCCGAAATGGATTTCCTCGTCGGGTGTGCGACGAACAAAGTTCGCAGAATGCCCGTATATATGCGAACATTATGCATCATGTTCGTCGATTCGGCGGGAATTGCACCTACGGAGGTCGACTACAGAGTCGATCTACCCCAAAATTGGTTGCCTCATCGGATTTACAGGCAAACAGTATAGTAAGGATGCGCAATAAGGGTGCGTGGGCCTTGGACGCCCATTTCGAAGCTCTTAGAGCGGGACGCGGCGAGCGAAAGTGGCGAAGAATGGACCGAGGAGGCGAGGATGCAAGGGTACCCTTGGGAAGGTTGCCCATCCTTACTGTCATGGTTCACTGTACACGAAAAACTGTGCAGAATGTCCGTATATGTGCGAACCTTATGCATCATGTTAGACGATTCGGCGAGAACTGCACCTTCGGGGGGAATCAATTCTGCAGTCGATCTCCTACTCGAAGCCCGCGGGCGGGCGGCGCCACGCCTGCAGCCCTCGGCGGCTGCGGTCGTTGCCGTCGTCGGCTGCGGTCGTCGCCGTCGTCGCTGTCGTCGGCTGCGTCGTCGGCTGCGTCTCGGACGCTCCCGCGTCGTGGGCAACATCACTGCGGAAGGTTTGAGTCAATTTTCGACCACTGGGGGCTCTCGCCAAACCTCGGGACCGTCAAAGAGCGACTGGTGATGAGAAACCGGCCCTTGGGGAAGGGTCGGGACTTCAGGGAACCACGTGTTGAAACAATCAAGACATAGGAAGTCTGGGTTCGTTGGCTGGCCTGCGAGGTCTGGCCCAGCTCCTTTCTTTCACACGTCGCTGGCACTGGTGTTCGAGCTTACTCAGCTCTCTCATCATACCAATATCAGTCATGATGCGACCGACCAGGACAATGGCCCCGTGCTGTATACCCATACGTTTACACATTACAAGATCGCCAGGCCCCCACGCGCGCGCCCCAGCCCGAGACCCACGATCTTTTCGACCTGACTTTTGATGGATGCTGGGACGTCTGACTACTGGAGCCAGCCCCGAGAAGGATGCGATGCGAGGCGACGCGCGGCGGCTGCACGAACCCGTAGCTACCGCTGACTGCTCCCAGCCCCGCTGACCGACAACTTGGGAGGGCTGGACGCCCGAATTCTTCAGGAGAGCTGGGGTCCAGGGTGACCATATACGGTCAACCAGTATAGTAAGCGTGCGCGATAAGGATGCAAGGGCCTTGGAAGGCCACGTCGAAGCTTTTAGAGCGGGTCGCGGCCAACGAAAGTGGTCAAGGATTTGCTGAGGAGGCAAGGATGCAAGGGTACCCTTGGGACGGTTGCCCATCCTTATTATTCGTGTTGACTGTATACGGTCTGGGCCCCGAGGCGCGAATCTGTATAACTACCCCTGACAGCCCCCAGACCCGGATGATTCGGAGCCCTGATAATTGACCCGTCCTCGCCGGGCGGCTCCGTATCAGGAGAAGGAAAACACACACACACACAAGCACAGATAATCATCGCGCGCCATGAAAATATGGGCAGATCTGGGAAGTGGGCGGGGAAGACGCAAGCCCACAACACAGGGGAAAGTATGGGATCCTGGGAGGGATTGGTGTCTATTCGTTTGTGTGTCCTTGGGCCCCTTGACCGTAGCGTCAAGTCGGGCGTGTCCCCCTACAGGAGGATTTTCTACGAAATATGAAAAAATATCCAACAAACGTGCAACAATTATCAAGAAATGCTCAAAGGAAAGTCCCCAGACTATGTTTTGACTATTTTTACGTTTTCCTCCTGTAGAGGGACGGGCCCGACTTGACCGTCGCGCGCAGGGCGCCCGCACGCAGGGGCCGACGGGCGGTGCTCCGTCGAGCCCGGCGTGCGACGGGCAGACGCCGCGCCGGGGCGACGGGCGACGCGCCGGGGCGAAGGGGCGACGCGACGGGCGAAGGGCGACGGGCGACGGGCGACGGGCGACGCGACGGAGCGACGCGACGGGCGAAGCGCCGGGGCGACGGGCGATGCGACGGGCAGAAGCCGCGCCGGTGTGCGGCTAGAGCGGGAGCGCTGGCAGAGCGGCGGCGAGCCGCGCGAGCGGCGCGAGCCGGCAGCCCCACGAGGGCGGCGCGCTCGCAGCGCACTCGCACCACGTCCAGGGCTCGCTGCTGATCTGCTCAGCGCAATTCTTTTGGAGGGCGAGGGAGAAAGATAGAGAGACGCAAGAACCAAGGAAATAAGGAAATAGAGAGAGAGAGAGAGAGACAGAGATAGAGAGAGAGAGAGAGGAAGAGAGAGCGAGAAAGCGAACGCGACCACCCTCTTCCACGTCGCAGCGCGGCAGGGGCAGTCTGCACGCGCGTTCAGGCGGTCTCTGCATCGGAAAGTGTAAATCAACTGGCGGCAGGACGGGAAGACATGCGAAAGCGGCCGCGAGGCTGGAGGGAGGGAGGGAGACGACGCGACCACCCGATGAGCAGAGTTCAATCTGTAACGTAACTGTGCGCGCCCGAGGTGCACCACGGCGAACAGTCTGCGGCCAGAGGCCAAGATGCGAGGAACGCGCATGCGGAAGCGCACAAAGCCGAAGAACAGAAACCGGACTGCAAATCCCTGCGCCGACCCCACCGGCACATGAACGTGATCACGGCGACAGTGCGCCACTCATGCCAAATACGAGTGGGGGCGGTGAAGGGAGAACCGGAAGCAAAGGAAGAAACAATTGGCCAGGACGCGGCTGTGCAACCGCCGCTGATTCGTTGAAAGGCGTGTTTTCACATAACGCCTTCGCTTCCATCAGGCTCCGAGAGCTGTTAGGCAAGCTCTGCAAGCCCACTGGGAGTCAAGAAAGAGAAATCAAAGGGAGGTGCAGAAGGGGCCCACACACCTGCCTAGCAGAACAAAACGCTGACACTCACAGCTGCGTTCGGATGTTGTTCAGCGAGGCTGCCGAGAGACACATGAACGACAGAGCCGCCGATTGGAATCCTGTGAGTCCTTCAACGAAGCGCCACCGACGAACACGAAGACGACGACACACGATGACGACGCAGAGGCCTCGACTGCCTCCTCGAAGCTGTCGACGCTCTGCAGGACCTGGCGCCTGACCCAGCCGCTCGCCTCCCTCTTCTCCTCGAACCCGCCCGCCCCCAGCGCCGCTGCCGGCTTAAGGGGGGCCCGCGGCGTCTGAGCGTCCGAGAGAAAACCTTGCCCAATCTGCTCACAAGCGGCAAACAGATCCGTATCCGTGCCCTCGCGGTCTGGATTCCTGGGCCCGATTCCGTATCCCGTGGATACGCGGTCGTGCGGATGCGTTCCGCGCGGGGCATCCCCGAAAACTCGCCTCGTATCCCCAGGGTCGCGGCCCAGGGGCCCAGCCCGCGAGGCCGCGGATGTGGATATGTTTTTCGCCCACGATCTGCGCGACTCATCGCAGCGGCCATCACGGCGCCAGCGCGGCAAGCGGGATGGCGCCTCCGCTCCCGGCAACCTTCCTCCCCCCCCTCAAGCTCCTCTTGCTCAACCTGCTCCAATTCGTTCTCCCCGCCCCCCGTTCCTCCTCGTCCTGCCACATTGTTATACTCCTCCATGTCCTGGGCATCCGACCAACTTGCTCATGACATTGGCCCCAGGACCTCTCGACACCATCACATGACTGGTTGTTCATCTTCGTTGTTCACTGTCAGGTGGCGTGGCCTGGTACAGGCCCCTAGGGGCCCGACTTGAAGAAAAACGACTGCATTCCTCCTCCTCCTCCTCCTCCTCCTCCTCCTCCTCTCCTCGTCCTCCTCCTCCTCCTCCTCCTCCTCCTCCTCCTCCCTCCTGGGGGCCCTTTCAGGCACTGAGGATCACATACAACCCATGATATCTCGCATCCCCCTCTTTCTCTTCCTCCTCCCCTTTCTCGCCCTCTTCTCCCTCCCCCACTTCCACATCGCTTGCCGTCCAGCGCCGCGCGAATGACCTGCGTCCGGCTGATAACGCAGCACGAAAGCGGGATGCGCGTAAAGGCAAACCAAACCCACACCACACACGCGCACACATCCAGATTGTTTGCGTCGGCGGCTAGGCACAGTCACTACGCTGGCGATAGGTAGCGGAACAGGGATACCGTGGAGCGAATTGGGCCACCATGCAGGGAGAAGAGGAACAGAACGAAGAGACGGCGCAAGGGAGGGAGAGACAGAGCGGGGCCGCTCAGGGGGGCAGCACACACCCACACACACACACACTCAGACACACGCACACACAATCACAAACACACAAACCCCTCGCGGGGACTGGGACCACACGCCCCTTTCGAAAATCCGCGCCTTCCTCCGGAGCCTGGAGGCCCCCTCAGGCGAGAACCTGCCATCGAAACTCGGGGGGGGGTTCGACCCCCCCACCTCCACCCTTCCTGCAAGCTGGCAAACCACAGGGAACGACGAAGTGGACGGAGACGACGACGACGACTCTAACAACGACGACCCCGCTGACGCTGATACTGATGAAAACGATTACGATGACGCTCACGGCGACGCCCGAAGACAGACGACTGACAACGACGCAGGCGGGACACGGCAAACGTCGGAGGGGTCGGGCGGGCGGGTCAAGCTTGCCGGTGGGACACTGAGCGGGAGAGCGGCCAGGACGCTCGGGAACTCAGACCGGGCGGGCGGGGCATGACATGTTTTTTCTCGTTGGCGTGGCGAGGTTGGTAGATAAGACGCAGGAGAGAAACGAGGAGACTGAAGACGACAACGACGAACACGGGCGGGCGGGACATCACCTCGGGCGAGCGGACGGCATGTAACGTAAACGGAGACTTCGCGCGCTGTTGCGACACTGCTCAGGGACAGGGAAACGAAAACTGCAAAAGTGACGACGTCTGGGGCATTAAGAGGGCGGGAGGGCGGTGCACTCGAGCAAGCCTCGATCGCTGATGCGGTAAAGTTCGTCTTCGCTGTCGTCGTCGTCGTGATCGTCGTCGTCAGTGTCGGCGGCGTCGTCGTCGTCGTCGCCAGCGTCGTTACCTCCTCCGCCGAGCCCGACGCCTGGAGTTTTTATGGCCCTAACTCGGGCCTCTGGCAGCCGCTCGGGACGATCCATGCAACCCCTCGGAAAACCTCCGACGAGGTGCATCTGCTGGAGAGCATCCCGAGGCGATAAACCTGCCAGAACCAACGACAATGTCCTCATCCCCTCCCCCATTCGACCAGGTTCCCGACATCCCCGTCAGGCGCGACGGCGAAGATGCGAAGACAATAAAGACGAAGACGGCGGCGGCGACGGCAACGGGGTTGGCGACCGCGGCGCGAGCCGCGAGGCGTCCAAGACAGCATCTTGATGAGAGAGTCCACGTTCGTGCTCTTCGGCGGGTACCGGGCGCACAAGGCGGGCTCATCGTCGCCGAGTCCGTCGTCGCCGAGTCCGCCGTCGTCGTCGAGGAAGTCAGTGTCGTCGCCACTGTCGCCCGTCGCTTTCGTCATTGTCGTCGTCAAGCTCGTCGTCGTCGCTGTTCTCTTTCTCCTCTTTCTGCTCATTTTCCTCCTCCTCCTCCTCGTCATTGTTCATTGTTCTCCACCTCCTCCTCCTCCTCCATTCCTTTCCCTTATAAGCAAATTCTCCCTGTCGCACCCCGAAGCTAGTTTTTACTGCGGGCCGGGCGTTTTGCCTGAGACTTCCTCACCATATATGACCCTGAAGCTTCAAAATTGGCAACAGCTTCGCAGATGGAGGGCGGGTCGTTTTCAAAATGTGGCTCTCTCCTCAGCGCCGAGCACATGCCCTTTCAAACTATGCAAGAGTTTCACGGAGTTGTGGCGGCTGGTTTCCGAAATGTCGCTCTCGCCTCAGCGCCGCGCACATTCGTAATACAAACGCGCAGGAGTTTCACAAAGTGAAAGAAACCAATTTCCAAAATGTTGCTCTCGCCTTAGCGCCGCGCACATTCGTTTTTAAACTTCGTAAGAGTTTCACGGATCGAAGGCGGTTCCTTTTCAAAGTGTGGCGCCCGCCCTGGCCCCGCGCACATTTGTTTGAAACATTGGCAAGCATTTGGCGGATTGAAGGCGGCTCCTTTTCAAAATGTGGTTCCCGCTTAGCGCCGCGAACATTCGTTAATACAAGGTGCAAGAGTTTCACGGGTCCCATGAACAAAATACAAAAATGTTTTTGGGAGGGTTCAGGATAATGAAGGTTTAACTGTTACGTGCGTTCGCGGTCCTGAAATCCCAAGAATATCGTTCGGGCGCGATTCAGGCTCGTCAAAACGCAACAGTCAGGTTGATCCGTGGCGTTGGAATCCCAAGAAACATGTGTTGGTATGGTTCAGGGTTTTTGAACGGTTGCCTTCCAACGAGGCAGTCCCTTCAGCGGGAATGAACCGTTACAGGGGCCTGTGAAGAAGGAGCTTGGAGGCAGGGTTGATTCCGGCATCGTTGACGACTCTTGGGTTTACACTGGTCCTCCTCCTCCTCCTCCTCCTCCTCCTCTTGCTCCTCGCCCTCGTTGTCTGGCATTCGGGGCCGATTCGCTTTTCGCTCCTCCTCCTCCTCCTCATGCTTCTCCTCCTCCTCGTGCTCCTCCTCCTCGTCCTCGTGCTCCTCCTCCTCCTTCTCTTCCTCCTCCTTGGAAAAAATGCTCCGCCGCCTGTGCTCCTTCGGGCCCCCCGGGGGGGCACGCTATGGGCCCCTTCTCCTGCAACTCTCGGCCCCAATCCATTGCATCGCCCCCCCCCCCAGCTACGAAACGCCTGGCAGGACGGACCCTTGCATGTATCCTGCGACCAAGTCTCGCCACGGATTTTAGGCGAAGATCGGGAATCGGTGATGAGTTTGTTGAGCAATCTGGTCATGTTTGGTCGTGTTAGGGTCTCTGGAGGCGCCAGTGACCACGGCTGTGAAGGCGCCAGTGTGACTACGGCTGGATCCGCACAAATCTTCTCGTTAGACCACGCCTCAGAACAATTCTGAAGTCGTCGCCGTTGTCGTCGGCTGGTTTATCGTCGACGAGGTGGTCGTAGGCAACGTTGTCGTCGAGATGGTCGTGGTCGCCTTCGTCGTCGAGTTCCTCGTCGTCGTCGTCGTCGTCGTCGACGTCAGTCTCCGTCGAGTGCGTCATCTTCGTCGTCGAGGTCGTCATCGTCGTGTCCATCGCCGTTATCGTAGAGTTCGCCATCGTCGTTGCCGAACTCGCCGCCGTAGCCTGCGTCCACGGCGTCGTCGCCAATGTCGTCGAGTTCGTCGTCGTCGTCGATCTTCCCGTTGTCGTTGGTGCCCTTGTCGTCATCGAGCTCGCCGTCGTCGCCGTCGTAATCGTCAGAAAGTTTCCCGTCGTCGTCGAGGCTGTCGTCCTAGAAGAGCGCATGGAGAAGAAGGGAACAGGAGAAGGGAAGGAGGGCGAGGTGGAGGAGAGGAGCAGGAGCCAAAACCCGGGCGAAAACCATATCATGCAACTGCGACAGGCAACCGCCCTCTGCAATGTCGACCTCAATGTCCCACACTGCGCAGGGGAGAATAGCGATGCGCATCCTGTCCAATGAATTTATCGGGAATCGGGGGCCAAGCCCATCCTTGCCGGCACTAGCGAGAGAGGAAGAATAGGGGATGGGTAGGAGGGGAGGCAACTGCCCACGATCGCCAATCGGCTCCCTGCCACGCAGCTCATGACACTGCACGCCCCACTCCTGGATGACAGAGGCGTGATGCTCCCCATCGTGATGCCAAACATCGGGCTCGGTTCTGCCGTCGACCGACGTACTGCGCACAGTCGGGCCTCGCCATCGCTCGGACGTCCTTTCCTCGTGCATGGTTCGGTTTCGTGCGTATATTTTTTCGCAAGGGGACCCAAGATGCTCCTCGATGGTTCCTGCTGGGGGGAAACATGCACTGGTCCGGGCGATGCCAAGTTGCCCGTCGCTAGCATCGTGGATGCCAGCGTCGTGCTACTGCTCCCCGCGGCGTGGTGCTGGACGTCGTGCGGATGGTCGCAGCCCTGCTGCTCACAGGCGCGCTGCTTGCCACACTGCGCAACCCTCCCCTCGGTGCCAGAGGCGTGCTGCTGCTCCCCCTTGCGTTGGGTCGGGCACGTCCCCCTATAGGCGAATTCTGAAAGAGAAATGAAACATAAGCCATGCATGCTTAAGAATAGTCAGAAAAATAATCAAATTGTCGTCCCCGGATTATTGTTTGTCTATTTTCGAAAATTCCTCCTGTAGAGGGACGTGCCCGACTTACCCCTTGTGCTGCTGCGCGTCGCCGCGCACGACCATGCTTGAGCCTTACGTGGCTGAGCTGCGCGGTCAGAGGTGTGGCTTCAGGGATCGAGGAGGAAGAGGGACCGAGCGTCGAGGGCAATGGGAAAGGAGGGGGGGGGAGCGAGGAGGCGGAGGTTTGACGAGTAGGGAGGAGGGAAGGAGGGCGAGAACAGAATGAGAGGGAACCGGCAGAGGAGTCGTTCGCGAGGTCCTCGGCGGTTTCCCTGCGCTTCTGGGGGACAGTGAAAGAGGCCTAGATCGTCACTGGAAGGGTGAGGCTGCTGAGAAGGCAGGATGTGGAGGGGGAAGCTTTCGTTTATGTCCGGATGGGCCAGGGGCTTCTGCGTACGCAGGGAATTATACGAGGATGCTCTTGGGACTGGAATGAATATGCCAGGAGTCCAAATGGGGATGATGACGATGATGACGATTATACTGATGATGATGTGATGGTGTGGTGATGCTCATGATGAGTATGATGGTGGTGAGTATGATGGTGATGATGATGATGCTGGTGGTGATGATGATGCTGCTGATGATGGTAACGATGATGATGCTAATGATGCTGGTGATGCTGATGATGATGGTGATGGTAGTGATGATGGTGGTAATGATGATTCTGATGATGATGATGATGATGATGATGATGATGATGATGAGAATTGTGATGGTGATGATGATGGTGGTGATGATGGTGATGACGGTAATGATGCTGCTCATGATTTTGACTATGGTTATGGTCATGGTTACGTTGATGCTGATGCTGGTGCTGCTATCGACGACGAGGAGGATGCTGCTGGAGATGAGGGTGATGATGATGCTGGCAATGATGGAAAGCATGAAGAGGATGAGGAGGGGGGGCGAACGACACGGAGTGGGAGAAGACGGTACCGAGTGTTGATCTCGACAGAGTAGCCATTCTGTCCACGTCTCCAAGCAGTGATCGGGAAGGAGTACGGGGCTATCTGGGAGACAGCTCTGTTTCTCCGCATGGCCTCCCACTCATGCTTCTGGCCTCGCCTCTTGTTATATCTCGCTCTTTCTCTTCGTCCCTTTGCATTGGTCCCAGATTGCAGTAACCGTTCTGTGTGCCAGTACCTAACGCACAACAGGGGTACCCCCCCCCCCTCGTACTCCTCCAGCTGTTCGTCCTAACCTCCCCTCCCCCCTGCACCTCCACATCCTGCTCCTCCCTCCTGCTCCTTTCTTTCCCGCGTCGTCCCCCTCCAGCCACGTCCTCCTCCTTCTCCTCCTCTCCATCGTTCCGTCGTCCTCCCCGTGTTCCTTCGTTTGGCTCCAGATGACTTCTGACGTCCCTCCGCCCTCGCAACTTAGCTGCAAGGATATCAAAAAGCTGTCACCATCTGAGCGGTGAAGACCTCCTTGCCGTTCTTCACGAAGGTGCCAAGATAGCTCATGTTCTGGGGAAGCGGCGGCGCAGGCACCCGCCGACCAGGAGGGTAGCAACAAAAACACCTACACCAGCACCGCCATCCAATGGAAGTTGAAGGTCCTCGTGGTTTTGCGGTTGACATGCCGGCGTTCTGCTCGACACATCTCCAATATTCAGCTTGGGAGCTGTGGCCCCCCTCGCCAGGGGTGGCCCTGCTGGTGGTGACCGTGTTGCACCCCCCCCTCCCTCCAGGAAATCAACACAAACACGCCTGATCCCGATCCCGAGGGCCCCCGCCCGTCATGCACCCATGATGCCAGGCACTGGGTTCACATGCGGAGCATCTCAGGATAACGCGCTAGAAGTGCATGTGGACCCAGGGATTTGTCGACACAAAAACAAACCGCGGTTCCTGTCGGCCAGTACCTGCTGGGACTGTCCTGCAGCGGAGCGCGTAACGGCTGACTCAACGGATGGACGAACCGTTGGGTTCTGGAGTACGCATACCATCGCCCCCTATCACTTCGACGTTGGCGGGGCGACGTTCAATGATGAGCTCGAATGGGAAGGATTGATTGTGCCTGCGCCTGTGCGCTCGATGGACAATACAGACGTCGGGGGGGGCTAAGGGTCGTACGACGAGCTGTTTGGAACTCGAGGCGCTGGATTGGAAACTCCAGGCTAAACCGACGGTGCCTGCACGGATTGATGCCATATCCTCCTCCTCCACCTCCTCTTCCTCGTCGTTACTATTCCACTCCTCCCCTTCTTCCTCCACACCACTGCCTTCCTCCCAGAAAAAATGGAGATGATGCGAGGAAGGAGAGAAGGCGAAGGGGAGGAGAAGGAAGGCGAGAGGCCGAGAAGAGGACGGACTGGGGAGGAGGGAGTGAACGGGAAGGACATCGAGAAACTAAGAGACTGGAGGGATGATGATGGAGGAGGGGACGAGGGATGAGGATGGAGGAGGTGGAGCGGGAATGGGACCGAGAGACGAGAGGGCAGCGAGAGTGAGGAGGGTTAGGGGAGGAGGAGAGAGCAAGGAGGAGGACGGGGGGGGGGGCGTGGAGGAGGAGGGGGGGGGGCGCACGCCCCGCCGGCCCTCCTGGAAGTATTTGGCGAATGAGAAATCCATGTTCCTGGCGGGGCGGGCGCCTGCGATCCACCCCTCCTCCCTCCACCCCGCCCTTCCCCCACCCCCCTCTCATGCTCCTTTCCCGCTTCGGCCGCTTGGGCCAGCTCCTAAGTTTCCTCCTCCTCCTCCTCCTCCTCCTCTCCCTCCCCCTCCCCCTCCTCCTCCTCCTCCTCCTCCTCCTCTCTCCTCCTCCTCCCCTCCTCCTCCTCCTCGTCCCTCATTGTTCTTTGTTCCTCCTCCTCCTCCTCCTTCCTCCTCCTCCTCCTCCGACCCCATTTTCCAGATCCTCCTCCTCCTCCTCCTCCTCCTCCTCCTCCTCCTCCTCCCCCTCCTCTTTCTCATCCTTCGCCTCCTTTCGCCGATCGTGACGCGGCAACGCGCCATTGCCAGGTCCAGAACTCTTATTGAGGTTCACGTCGGTGGGAAGTTATACGGTGGGCTCGCACCGAGATGACGTCGGCGTTGGTTTAAGACAGCGTGTGGATCGTTCAACCTTGACTAAAAACGGATTTCAGATTGCGCAGATCGCCGGATACCGGCCGAATCCAGAGATGGCGGCAATCAACGTGGCGCGAACGTACCACACGTTGAATCATGAACTAGGAGGTCGTTCGAAGGAGATTGGGTTCGGGCCCTTGCCTGACAGAGGATGGCAAACTCAAGGGTTACTATATTATCAGCATTGATGTGCCAAGTGTGTCTTTAAGCATGGAACACAGCCTACACCGTGTGTTATCCCTGCTCAGCTGGCACAGACTCGTGTGGGATCAGCCGATTGCCCAATCAGCCATGTATATACTACGGCATGGCAGCCAGGAAGGTGAGAAAGGAGGATAGCGAGGGTGAGAGAGAGGGAGAGGAGGCGACAGAGGGGAGAACAGAAACAGCTGATGGAATACAATGCTCTCGCGTAGCCCCACCTCCACGGCCAATGCCACCAGTGGTGCCCGCACGAGTCCCCCACACGAGTCGAAAACACAATGGCCAGAGCAGAGACACTTGAGGCTGATTGGCCACAACCTATGAACACAACTCTTACAACCAACGATCGGCGAGAAACCATTCGATATATCTCAGCGCTCACTCTGGTCTCCATGGCGCGCACAAGGGGGTAGGGGAAGGGAGGAAGGCTTCGTAGAAGGAGGTTGTTTCTTAGAAGGCGCGGGCCCTACACCTACAGATAAGGCCCTTGCCTTCTAAGAAGAAGGGTGCTCCCAAGAAGCCCTCTCCCCTCCACCCTACCCCCCTTTTGCACGTGGCTGGAGCAAGTCCGCTCCAGACTCCAGGCTCTTTCTGACAGGGGAGTGGGTGCACCACCCGGAGGCGAAGCAGTGGCACGGCGCAGGGGCAGGAGCCGGAGCGAGAGCGGGCGCTCTCCGGAGGCGAGGCCAGTGGGGCTTGGAGGACAGAAGCGAGGAGGACAGTTCGGGGGGGACGAAAGGGTAGGATAGTTGAGGGAAGGGTAGAGTGACGAACCAACAACACACACCCATACCCATAGGAGGATCGGAGAGGGCTGTGGGTGCGTGGTGTCGGATGGGGGTCCCCGCTCGAACGGGAGCGTTCCCCAGGGTCCGACAACCCGCACCCATACCCATAGCCAGTCCTCCTCCCAACGATCTCCCTATGGGTATGGGTGTGTGTGTTGTTCGTTCGTCATAGAGAATACGCTCGCGTAGCTGGTTTCACTAGGTGCCTCCTGGCGTCGGGAGGCGCCCGTGTATCCAGGGAGGGGTCGGCGGCGGGGCCCAAGCCAGCTGCGCGCAGCAGACGTCGTGCCCCCCTCGGTTCCCTCTCCTAGCCGTTCGTCCAGCCCGAGCGATGGGGAGGAGGTCGCGAGCGGTATCCGCGCCATCGCGGTCTGGAGTTAGGTCGGGCATGTCCTCCTACAGTCGGATTTCGGAGGAGAGATGAAACATAGTCTAACAATACCCCGAGATCGTCAAAACATAAAAGAAACATCGTTCACCGACTGTTTTTCACTATTTTTTGAATTTTCCTCCTGTAGTAGGACATGCCCGACATAAGTCTGGAGTCTGGGGCGCGATCCCACGGATAGCCGGTCGCACAGATAAAGCGCCATGCATGCGCGCGAGGTGGGACCTACGGGGGCCCGTCCCGCTCCCTCCCACTCCTCCTCCTCCGCCTTCTCCTCCTCCTCCCCCTCCCCCTCCCCCTCCTCCTCCTCCCCCTCCTCCTCCTCCTCCTCCTCCTCCTCCTCCTCCTCCTCCTCCTCCTCCTCCTGCTTCGGTTCCGAGGAATGAGACGACCAGGAAGACAGGATCGAGGAGAGAGGCAATTGAACGTTGTCACGTTCCGTACCTTGGGCTCCTGGGCGCCTCCGGAAGCCTGGGCATCGAGAAACTTTGAACCCACTGAGATTTCCGACGTCATGAGAAGTCAATCCTGGCATCGTTCCTCAATTTCGGCACCGGGGGGACGTGGTTGGACCTGGGGCCGTCAACAAAAGCACAATCAGAGAACTCTGTGGCGCCCACGGGGTGAAAACAAACAATCTGCTGGATGGCAGGGCGTATGGCAAATCTCCTTATCTCTTCTCTGCGGCTGCAGTTCGAATCCTGGCGACCTCAAAAACAAATCGAGGCCCTTGCTGGTCCCAGTTGCGCCTGAGTTCGCGATCAGACAATCGAAAGACCTAATGAACGGGATCCCCAGCCCCTTCCGAATCAAAAGTTAGCCCTACGGGGCGTATGCAACGGTGCTCGGCCCATGGCCGGCTTGGATCTGGAGGTAATCCGTTCAAGACATGCCACTTGACACTCCTGGAAACCGCTCAGGCCCTCTTCCTAGCCGCGATCAACCATGGCGACGAGCATAGCCACCCGAACCCCAGAAAAACACACAAACCAATCACACTTTGGCGGCAGTCGACCCTGATCATCTGTACAGGTTACAACGGGGGGCGAACATGCGGGGGCAACGATAGCGGGCAGTGATGGGGAGCAACGATGGGGGGAACGATCGGGGGCCACGATGGGGGGCCACGAGGGGGGGGCAACGATGGGAGCAACGATCGGGGGGGGCGTCGATAGGGGGCAACGACGGGGGGCAACTAGGGTAGCAACGATGGCGGGCATCGACGAAGGGCAACGAAGGGGGGGCAACGTGGGGAGGCAACGATAAGCCACTGAGCTCGGCGGCCCGTTATGGGGGGCAACGATGAGAATCCGATATCAGGGTCCGGGCGTCCCTGACCAGGCGCCTTTAGATGATGTGGCCGATTCCGGAAACCCTGAGCCAAAACATGTATGCATCTCTCCGGGGCACCTTCGATCCTCGAAGGCGAGGCGCCTTTTTGAAACGTCCTATGTTGAACAGCAAGAGGATGACAGGAATTTGAAACGTCCAATGGTACTGTTACTGTTTGGTCCTTGTTGACTGGGAAAGCGACGCTGTGCTCACAGCACCTGAGCAGCGGGTGCCATGTTGGGTTGGGAAAATTAGAAGGCGGCGTTACCTGTCAACTGGATGGGCGCGGCACATTGTCAACTCTCGCAATGATGCAAAGGGCCCCAGGTCCGCACAACACATCATCAACTCTCGCATCACCCAGCGTTGTGTCCTCCTTCTTCTTCTTCTCTGCCTCCTCCTCCTCCCTCCTTCAAGAAACAACGCATCGCTGCCGAGAAGGAAGAGTAGGAGGCAGAAAACGAGGGGCCCTCAGGACCTAAAACGAAGCCTACCGAACAACTTCAAGGGAAAACCGAGAGCCTGCCATAAGGTTAGTTGGTGGACCCACTCAGCCTGGTGAGGGGCAACAAACACGGGGGGGAAACGTGGACCTCGAATCGACGACGATCCCGCGATTGCAAATCCGAGCGCTCCTGGGTGGGGTGGGCTTTCAGAACCCTACTGGCAATAAGTGGGCGATTCGGGATCGACGCGCTCCCCCCTGGGCATCTCCTCCCGATCGCTGCCTCTGAAGAGTCTAAGCATTCAATGGTGAGTATGTGGGCACATCCCCCCGATCGAGAGGACGACCAAGGCTACACGGATGCGCTCCTCGCGTGCGTCACCGTGCCGCTGTCGGCGCTCCTCCCGCCGCGGCCGCGGGAGGAGGCGGGGAAAGGGCGAGCCCGACCTCTCTTCCTCCTCCTCCTCGTCCTCCTCCTCCTCGTCCTCCTCCTCCTCTTCCCCCTCCCCCTCCCCCTCCTCTCCTCCTCCTCCTCCTCCTCCTCCCCCTCCTCCTCCCCCTCCCCCTCCCTCCTCCTCCTCCTCCTCCTCCTCCTCCTCCTCCTCCTCCTCCTCCTCCTCCTCCTCCTCCTCCTCCTTCCCCTCCTCCTCCTCCTTCCCCTCCTTCTCCCCAGCCTCGCACCCTCCCTCCTCCGTCCCACCTTCACTCCCACAACGCCGGGGAGGCCTCCCGTCGAGGGGCGCGGCCCCAGAGGAGCAGAAAGCAGACCTCACGCCTGCGTCGTGTTCCTTCATCGCCTCCTGCGCTCTCCAAGGCATCGAGGCCTGGTCGGCGGAGAGCCCTCCGCCGCTATCCAGGTTCGCACCCAGTCGAGAGTTCATCGTCTTCTGCACCCTTGGGCACCCAAGAGGGAGTCCAACAGGAAGGGCGCAAATCATGGCCAACGGAACGGGCGCGGCCCTGGGGGGGACCCGGGACGTGATGAAATAAGAAGAGGCGCCATGAAATCAGGGGATCGATCATGGCTCCCACGATATCCTACCCTGAGCATCCCCGCCCTGTTTGCCGCCCCCGACGGATGCAACATCCGAATGCAACTTCCCGAAGAGCCTGCCAGACAGAAGAAGCATCCTGGATGCTCTTCCTGCTTGGCAGCCTCTTCGGGAAAATGGCTGCCACGAGAGGTCTGCAGCTCCATCACTGGGAGGAGGAGAAGCAGCAGCCAGGAGGAGGAAGGGTCCAGGAACTCCCCTTTACACCCTCCCGTATCCCCACGTAGCTTCCTCATCTATCGAACATCCGCCTACTCCAGAACCTTGCGAAACAATGTCGACCTCTTCACCCTGGAGACGGGCAACTCCAAAACCAAGTAGAACCTCTCTAACGACTCATAGATCCCGAGAGAATCGCCTGAAACACCCCTGACCCTCCAAACACCCTCCTCTTACCTCCGTCCTCCCTGAAGGCACCGTCTTCGGGTCCCGGACACATCAGGGGGGACTACGTGGGCCGAAGCAGAACTGTCCAGAGCAGGAGGCCCAACGCTCTGGGGGCAACGGGCTGGTCCAGTCAACGAGTCGGAGGCCTGGGGCTGCGCCCAGTCCGACCACGCCACGTCAGGATGCGAGCGCCCGTCGTCGGATTCAGCGGAATTGCACGCTGAGCCGCTGATCCATCTTAATATATCCTCCCCCCCTCCTCCTTTCCCCTGGTTCAACACGTCACCATCATCATCACGATCACCATCACCATCACCATGACCATCACCATCACCAGTATCATCATCATCACCCCATCACCACCAAAAGCGTCATTATCATTGCCATCATCACCATCCGCCTCATCATCGTCGACATCATAATCGTGAACATAATTGGCACCATCACAATCATTGCCAGCATCGTCATCATCATCACTATCATCATCATACTCACCATCATAATCACACCATCACCATAATCGCGACCACCACCATGATCACCACAGCCACCATCACCATCATCAGTTAAAAGGGAAGGGAGTTCACAACAATTCGATGACCATAGGTGGTGCCAAGCGCGCGACCCCAAATGATGTGGTAACGTGTGCTTGTAAATCATAGGTTGCCAACGTTGGTGTGTGTGTGTGGGTTTCGTTGTATCCGCGTGATTCGAAAACGAGACTCGTCCATTGTCAACGAGAGCAATACTGTGATTAGAAAATGTTTGCACGGTGAGCGGGAACACACGAACGGGAGCGCGCGTGCACGGGGGGAGGTGGGCAGGGAGGGCAGGAGGAATCTATAAGCAAGGGAAGGGTAGCGAGAGATAGAGAGAGAGAGAGTGAGAGACAACCAAAAAAAACGAAGGCCAGGTGGGCGGGCAACGACGTGAAAGAATTCAGGGATTGGGGGGGGGGGGCAAAGGAGGGACGAATGGCAATTGATTAACATTGCACGCCCCCATGTCAAGATGGGGCCCTGCGTGGGCCAGCGAAAGATGCCCCATGCCGAGTGCCACAGTCGCGGCGGAGGAATATGATGGGAGCGTGGGAGGGGGCACAAGAGAAGTAGGGAGCGGAGAAATGCAATGAGGAGGTGGACGACGCAAAAGGAGCGATGAGGAAAGGAATGGAAGGAGGGAGGCAAGAGAAGGAAGAACCTGATACCGCGGAGAGCGATGGAGAGACGGGCGGAAAGGGGGAAACTGTTCGTTTTCAAGGCGCGCGCTCGAAGCATCGCCCGCGCAACCATCGTGCAACTGTAGACTCTCTCAAGGCATGTGCCGAAATAGGCAGCAGGGCATGCCCACTCGAGACGGCCCCGTCTATCTTCCAGCATCCTTTGATTATGATCGTGGACGCCATGACAACGCGCACCCTAACAACCCTAGCGCTGCTGAATGGGAACATGTGCTTTCGATGTTTGAACGATGTCCTGGGCATGTTGTTTGGAACAAGGTCTTTGCATGCTTAAGGCACGGTTTCAACATTGTTTGGGCATCTGGGCACTATTTGGCAGCATGCTTCCACTCCGCTGGTCGTCGTTGAAACGGTGAGTTTTCCACCTCAGGCTCCTCCTCCGCTCTCCGTGCCCCTCCCTCCCTACACTGCCTGTGTGTTCCTCTTCCCCCGCCTGCCTCTCCCCGCCCCCCTCCTTCATCTCCTCCTGCGGCCCCCGACAGCACAGACCCCCACCTATCTATCCGCCGCCCCACTCTTTTTCCCCTGCCCCCTCCCTGCGACCTCGCACGTCCAATGCGAAGCCTCAAAGCTGATGCCTGCGCCTGCGTGTCGCTTTGCCACGGCGGCCGTCCTGAGCGGGCGGCGGGGCAAACGATACCTCACTCGTCCTGCTTCTTGGGCGGCAACTTGGGGCCTTGAAGGACCCCTCGAGCACCGTCGCGCCAGCGCCCCGCGTGTCGGACGCTGGCGCGGCTGCCCCAAGCACGGGAGCAGCGGTGGTGGAGCTCGCCCCGGCGCCAGCGTTAAGTCGGGTTTCCCTCTACAGGAGGGATATTCAAATTTAGCCAAAAAATAATATGGGGACGATGTTCTAACATGTTGTGACTATGTTTAAACATGTGTTGGATAGTTGTTCATATTTGTTCGTCTAAAATCTGTTTGTAAGGGGACATGCCCGACCTGACGCCGGCGGACTCCTTCTTCGGCGCGTGCACCGCACTCGAGGCATCCATCGGAGCCACCAGCCACCTCGAGCTTCTCTGGGATGTGGCGCTTCGTGTCCGCTCCGCGGGTATTCGTGAGCACCGCGCTCTTCATGCAGCAGATGGCCAAGATCATCGCGGTCTCCCGTCCAGCTTGCCGAGCTCTACGGCGGTCGCCCAATTCATAGAGTTACTCGAGACCTTGAGCCCCTCGATGGTCCGTTCCGAAGTCGGCAGGGAAATCGCGAAGAACTCGACCGTCTTGAACTGCTGCTCTCTCTTCTCGTCCTTGTTCGAAGGCGCCAGCCAATTCTTCGGGGCCCCCTTGTCGCCGCAGAGCTCCGCAGCTCTGATCGCCGCCATGGAATCCTCGCCCTCCGGCCCGGCCCGTAGGTGTCGACGATCTTCTGGATTGCGCCGCAATCCAACTTCTTGAACACGCCTGCGAATCGAGCGTCCCATTCGACGGAGAACACCGTCATCCATTCGCCCACTTCTACTTTGCTGGCAATCGGTTCGCACAGGTCCTCGGAGCTCTTCAAGACATACGTCGCCAGCATGCAGCCGACTTTTCTCCCCTGCAGGGGCGCCGAGACCGCACTCTTGATTACGTTGTATGAATGGGCCGCCCTGACGTGTCTCTGGATGACGGCGGGCAATGCGTCCTCGAGACCGGTCGCAACCTACAAGAACTTAGAGTTCATCACGGAACAGCTATCCGATGACGCAGCGCGCCGTGCGAAGTCCACGATCGGCTTGCTGAGTGGGCAGCGTGGCCATGTGCTGGTTCAGCCCCTGGAAGGGCTTCGCATCCTGGCAGCCATCGGGCGAAGCTGGCGAACACGAAATCCAAGACTCCTGCTGCCAGACCCCGCTCCACATCAGGATGGCGCTCTCCAAGGGTTTGGACGCGCCTAGAACCCTCACCAAGTTGTTAGCCTTGACAGTGACCGCGCGCTGACGCTTCGTCTCCTTGATCGCAGTCCTTTCTGCAGGGGCGACCTCGAAGAGCAAGATCATGCAGACTAACCCCAAAGGGTCTTGAATAAACCCCCGGGCACTAATAACAGAGGGGAAGGAGGAGGGAGGGGAAGGAGGAGGAGGAGGAAGGACGAGTTTCTATTCCCCGCCGAGAGCTCAGGGGGGGGTGCATCATTGAAGACCCCATGCGGCTATCATGGACAGCACCTTGAACGGATCGGCGCCGCTGTCGGCGCCCCCGCCAAACTCGGTCACGGCGACGGACTCGGCGAGCTGGTCGGCAAGGGAGCCGCTAAGCTGTATGGTGCGGGGGCCGCCGAGCTGTTCGGTGCGGGAGTCGGTGAGCTGGACGGCGCGGGAGTCGTCGAGCTGGTCGGCGCGAGCTGGTTGGCGCGTGAGTCGGCGACCTGGTTGGTGCGGGAGTCGGTGAGCTGGACGGCGCGGGAGTCGGCGAGCCACTCGGCGCGGAAGTCGGCGAGCAGGTCGGCCGGGGAGTCGGCGAGCTGGTCGTCGCGGGAGTCGGCGAGCTGGTCAGTGCAGGAATCGGTGAACTGGTTTCCTAGGAGGTGCGGGAGGCGGCGAGCTGGTCGGCGCGGGAGTCGGTGAGCTGGTCAGTGCGGGAGCCGCAAAGCTGGTCGATGCGGGAGTCGGCGAGCTGGTTGGCGCGGGAGTCGGCGACCTGGTTGGTGCGGGAGTCAGCGAGCTGGTCGGTGCGGGAGTCGGCGAGCACGTCGGTGCGGGAGTCGGCGAGCTGCTGGAGTCGGCGATCTGGTCGGTGCGGGAGTCGGCGAGCTGATCAATGCGGGTGTCGGTGCGCTGGTCGTCGCGGGAGTCGTCGAGCTGGTCGGCGCGAGAGTCGGCGAGCTGGTTGGCGCGTGAGTCGGCGACCTGGTTGGTGCGGGAGTCAGCGAGCTGGTCGGTGCGAGACTCGGCAAGGAAATCGGCGCGAGAGTTGATGAGCTGGTCGGTGCAGGGGTCAATGAGCTGGTGGACGCGGGAGATGGCAAGCTAGTCGGCGCGGGAGCCGGTGAGTTCGTCGGGTTCGGGAGTCGGCGAGCTTGTCGGCGCGAGAGTCGGCGAGCTGGTCGGCGCGGGAGCCGGCGAGCAGGACGGCGCGGGATTCGGTGAGTTGGTCAGTGCGAATGTCGGTGAGCTGGTCGGCGCTGGAGTCGTCGAGCTGGTCTGCGCCGGACTGGAGGCGGTGGCGATATCGATGCTGTGGGCGTTGGAGCTGGAGACGGCGCCGGCGTCGAGAGAACTGCAGGACATCGTCATCGACATCAGCTCTGAAAAAATACATCGCACCACAATGCAAGACGCAACGAGCATGCCACCAATTTCTTTGTTGTGATGGTGCGCTAGAAGTGACGCTGGAGTCGGTGCTGGGGTCGTAGCCAGAGCTGAGGTGGGAATGGGGGGCGGAGAGGCAAGAACTGGATTCGGAGTGCCGGAATTTGCTGGAGTCGGCGCTGGAATCGATGCTGGCGACGGTGCCGCCAGCATCTGCCTGAGTCGGTGCTGGCGACGATGCGGTTGGCATCGATGCTGGTGTCGGTTCTGGCCTGGTCAGGGTTGCGGTGCTGCTCATGCTGGACGTGGTCACGGCGCAGGTGCTGGACAAAACTGTTGTGCCGCACGTGCTGGATGTGGTCAAGGAAATGGTGCTGGTCATGGTTGTGGGCCATGCTGGATGTGATCACGGTGGAAGTGCTGGTGGAGGTTGCGGTGCTGAACATGCTGGATGAGGTCACTGTGGAGGGGATGGTCAGTGCTGTGGCGCAAAACAGGTTGGTCTTGATCACGGTGGTGAGGCTGGTCATGGTGGCAGTTGTCGCGGTGGCAAGGGTCGCGATTGGTGCTCTGCTCAAGCGAGTCTCCCCGGAACCAAAAGCTTGAGAGAGAGCAGAATTTGTACACCTCCGTCTGGCTATACGTTTTAAATGAGTGCCACACCTACACAGATAGTGGGTGGTTCGCTTGTCGTCGTGCTCAGTTGCGTGGGTGGACGATGAGGACAACAAATAAGAGGAGGAGGAGGAGAAGGAGGAGGAGTGTAATCGTTATGTTATGCAGCAGTCTGGGTGGTAGCGAGGCACGTCCGAACCCCCCTCTTGCATGACAGTCCCAGGACGATAGAACATGCAACATACAATCGTTTGCTTTACATGGGCGAGGAAGGCAAAAGTGCTCATGCAAAGTCAAACCAATGAATCAGGGGAAATGGCATTGCCAAGGCGACTACAAAACTTCATTGTGCCTGCGGCTTCATATGCACGTTGGATCGATATCCCCGGCCCGCACACACTGACTCGCTAGCGCTTTGCTGAGCAGCCGTTGAAATGACACGCGCATGTCGCCCCCACCTGTACATGAAATACCGCATACACCGTCAATTTGGACTAGTACATTGGCAAAACGATTTCCTCTGCTCGCGTGAATGAGTTGAAATGGCAGTCCTTTCCTTTCAAAGCATCATCGTCACCTGCCCCATCGTCGCCATCATTATCACCATCATCATCACCACCACCATCCCCAGCATCATTGCCACCATCACCATCACAACCACTGCCATCATCATCACCATCACCGTCCCCATCACCAAGATCATTCTAAATATCAGCATATACTTCTTTCGACCCCCACCTTCACCTCTGTCTTGCCTCATCTCGCCCCCCCCTCCCCGTGCGACAACACGTAAGTGGAATCGTGAGAAAGAGAGCAGGCGAAAAACAGCAAAAATGAGGGATGCTGGAAGGGGGTGCGAGGGGGTCAACAATGGAGCGTCCTGGCAATGATGCCGGTGCAGCCGAAGATGGGTTCCTGTCGGTGTGGTTGGCGCCGAGGAGGACGCTGCCGCCGCCGCTGAAACCGCCATCGTCGTCGTCGCCATCGTCGTCGTCGTCGTCATCGTCGTCGTCGTCGTTGTCGACGTCCACCGATGTTCGCCGAGTCTCGTCGATGAGGGTCGAGGCTCGAGGATCGAGGTGCTCCTCCAAAGCGCAACCCGCCCCACCTGGCACCTGGATCGCGACCATTCGGCACCTAGTATTGTTTTTCCCATCTGTTCCAATCAACTTCTGCATCTTCCACAATAAACGTTCCACTCCTAACCAGTTTCGTTCCAGCTCCGTCATCCAACAGAACGCACTCCGTCCTGCCTCAGGCCTCAAAGTGCATTCCCCCTTTTCCTGTTTCGCTAATGACATCATGCCTCCTCCTCCCCCGCCCCATATCCTGAATACCGTTTTCGCATGTCGCTAACCACGGTCAGTAGGCCGAATGGTTTTACCCAATCCGTGGGTGCGAGGCTGAGCTCAGATTCTGCAGCGCGGACTCGTGACGAGTGTTTTACGCCGTTTGCTGCTGCTACTGCAGTCGTACCCGCGACCCGCCCCGCGACTCGACCGCGAGCCACCCGCGACTCGCCCCGCGGCCCACCCACGACCCACCCGCGACCCGCGCTCACCGCGACCCACCGGCGACCCACCCGCGACCCACCCGCAATCGCTCGCGACTCCCCCGCGCCCCGCCCGTGCTCCGCCCGTGCCCAACCGGCGACCAACTCAAAGAAATAGCATTGACGAAAGCGTGGCGCCCGCGGCGGGCTCTTTCCGAACCTCGCAGACTACCGACGACCCCGCCGCCCCCTCAATTTCATCCGCAACTGCGGGGTCCACGTACGATTGCACGGCGCCTTAGCGTTGACTATATCCTTGTCGCGCGTCAATAGGAACGACTTGACGTGGCATGCGCAATGTCGCTCTTTCCGCCTCGCAGACTACCGACGGCCTCGCCGCCCCCTCAAATTCATCCGCAACTGCGGGGTCCACGTACGTTTTCACGGCGCCTTAACGTTGACTATATCCTTGTCGCGCGTCAATAGGAACGACTTGACGTGGCATGCGCAATGTCGCTCTTTCCGCCTCGCAGACTACCGACGGCCTCGCCGCCCCCTCAATTTCATCCGCAACTGCGGGGTCCACGTACGTTTTCACGGCGCCTTAAACATTGACTATATCCTTATCGCGCGTCAATAGCAATGACTTGACGTGGCATGGGCAATGCCGCGTGTTGTCGCAAGACCACCACCGTGCAAACGAAGCCGAACGTGACGTGCAAAGCCATAAATCGTTGCACCCATATGCGCACATATATGTATATATGTTTACATGTGGAATTCACTGTGATATTTGGTGACCTCCGGCTCATCCGGACACCGCGACAAGATTGTACATTGGAGGCATCCTGGATGCCATCTCGGGCGTTGTAAGGTGCCTCTTGGGCGCATCTCGCACGCCTCCAAGGGACACCAGCAGGAAGGAAAAGGAGAAGGCGGACGAAGACAGGTAGCAGGAGACATGGGGGAGGAGGAAAAGGAGGAGGAGGAGGAGGAGGGGGACGAGGAGGAGGAGGAGGAGAGGAAGACGAGGAGGATGATGGGGAAGCTTCACCCTTTGGAAGAGCCGAGAAAAAGGCAAGCGGACAAGGAGGTACCAAGAGGGCAAATCAGATCCACGCCGTCCCCGCGGGCCTGCATCGTCGGCAAGCAGACCGCGTGCGGCAGCAGTGGGTCTGCTCTCCGAGCGTGCGGGCGGCGGGGCGGGTGGGTGGAGGGCGAGGAGACGCGATGGAGCAATACGCGAATCCGACGAACGGAGGCCCGAAGGCGGCCGCGGACGAGAAGGAGGAGGAGGAGGAGGAGGAGGAGGAGGAGGAGGAGAAGGAGGAGGAGGAGGAGGAGGAGGGGGAGGAGGAGGAGGAGGAGACGAGCGTAGAAGAAGCCCTCGATCCCCAGCTCACCCGGCCACCCCTCCTGTGGGGGCGGCAGCCCTCGGGCGTCCTGCCTCGTCGGGCAGGGCCTCGACATCGTGGATGTCGGCGGACGCGGCCGCTATGTCATTCAGAAGGCACGACGAGGAGGCGGAGGAGGAGGAGGAGGAGGCGGAGGAGGACGAGAAGGAGCGGAGGCATGAGGGGATCGATGCCTCCCCTGCTCCAGACCCGCCTTCCTTCCGCCGCCTCACCACGATCCTCAACGTCTCCCATTCCTCGTCGTTCTCGTCCTCATCCCCAACGTCCCCCTCCACCTCCTTCTCCACCCCCCGCCGGCTTGTTTTTCATGACTTCGCCGCCCCTTCCTATTCCGTGTCTACATACTCTTCATCATACGACCTCCTGCTCCTCCTCCTCCTGCTCCTCCTCCTCCTCCCCGCGCCCCCCATCCCATCATCATGAGCAACAGCATCATCAACATCAGCATCACCAACATCATCATATCATCATTATCACCATCAATATCATCAGCATCAGCATCATCATCATCATCATTGTTGTTTTATCATCGTCGGTATCAGCATCATCATCAGCGCCATCATGATCTGCATGGACATCATCATCACAGGTATTATAATCGTCATCATCATCATCATCATCGTCATCAACATCATCGTTGTGCTGCTCATGCGCCTGCCTACCATTCGACACCGAATACGTCTGCACCTCCCCACCCTCATTGCTCTCAAAATGCATCTTGCCTGGCGGGAGAAATAAACGCGAGACGACCTGCTAGGATAACACGACCTGCTGTAGTGGAGTGGGCAGGGGAGGGGTGGGGCGGGGGGGGAGGGGAGTGCAAGGAGAGGGAGGGGCGAGGCGAGAGAACGGATGGGGATGGGGCACAGGACATGAGCAGTGAGGCGACGAAGGTAGGTGGGAGAGGGGAAGGGAGGGGAGGGGGTGGAGAGGTAGAGGACAAGGCGGATGGGAGGCGATGGGGGACAGAGGGAGAGAAAGAGGGGGAGAGAGAGAAAGAGAGATGAGAGAGGGAGAGAGGGAGAGCGAGGTGCATAAATGAGAAGCTACACATGAACACAGATAAGCAACACAATGGTCTTAACCTCCTGCCGCGGCGGTGCGAAGCGCGGTCCAGGCCCGTGCGCCGAGTGGTCTGGCCCCAAGGCCACGTCACGTTCTCCCACGGGACCATGACGGTCTGCAGCTCGTACAAGAGGTGGACCACCTACGATATCAAAAAGGTACGGCGACAACAAGTGAGAAAAAGCAAGGAGGGGGGGGAAGCGGAGGGGGAGGAAGACCCTGACCCGTCCTCCTCTCCCTCCTCCTGCTCCTGGGCCTTCCTACTGCTCCTCCTCCTCCCCTTCTCGTTTTTCTCCAAGAGAAAAAAACAACGAAACAAGGGCGCGGCACGGGCGTGCACTAAGAGACATGGGAGGAGGGAACGCCCAGAACATCGATTCTCCATCCTCAATCGTCGATCCTCCTCCACCTCTACTATCCTCCATTCCCTTCTCTACTGGAGGGGAGGGCAAGACAAGGTCGCCGCCTTGGCACACACCAGGACAAGCAGAAGGGGAGGGAGGGCAGGAGGGGGTAAGGAGGAGGGAGGAGGTAATGAGAAGGGATGGCGAGGATGAGAGGGGAGAAGGGAAGGGAGGAGGAGACGAAGGAGGGAAGACGCAGGACTGACGACGGAAGGGGAGGAAGAGGAAGAGGATGAGAGAAGGGGGGGAGGAGGAAGAGAAGGACCAGGTGGAGAGGAGGAAGAGGAATCTAACGAGGAGAACGAGGAGAACGAGGAGAAGGGGAACGAGGAGGAGGAGAAGGGGAACGAGAAGGAGGAGGATGAGGAGGATGAGGAGAAGGAGGCGGAGGAGAAACACGAGGAAGAGGAGGACACGGGCGAGGAGGGCAAGGCCCCCCCTCCCCCTGGGCCTTCCCCGAAGCATCCCCAGCTTCGCGGAGACCCCTAGAGGCCTCCAGAGGTCCCCAGATATCCAAACGGGACAAACAATGGCAACAGACAGATCCTCGAGCCCCACCGTCGATGCTCCTCTTCCTCCATCTTCTCTCTCTCTCTCTCTCTTTCCTCCGCCTTTTCCAATTCCGCCTTTTCCAATTCCTTCCCCACCTCCTGCTCCTCCTCCTCCTCCTTCTCCTCCTCCTCTTCCTCCTCCTCCTCCTTCTCCTCCTCCCCCTCCCCTTCCTTCTTCTTCTCCTCCTGCTCCCTCCACGAAGGAGCGGGGAACGGGGCCTCGCCTGGGCGTACACCAGCGGGGCGCCCGTGTACTTTGCCCAGCCCGCGATCTCGGCCTGCAGCTCCGCGCTCCTCTCTGGGCCGACGCGCGCCAATGCCGCCGTCACCACCGCCGCCCTGGCCCCGGCTGTTGCCGTCACCGTCGCAGTCGTCGTGAGCGTCGTCGTCATCGTCATCGTCATCGTCGTCGTCGTCGTTGTCGTTGTCGTTGTCGTCGTTGTCGTCGTCGACGTCGCCGTCGTCGTCGTCGTCGACCCCGCCGTCGTCGCCGTCGTCGTCGTCGTCGTCGTCGTCGTCGTCATCGCACGGGCCTTCAACGTCGCCGTCGCGGTCGTTGTCGCCATCGTCGTCGTCGTCATCACCGTCGTCGTCGTCGTTGTCGTCGTCGTCCTCCGTCTCCACACCCTCCTCGTCCTCCTCCTCCTCCTCCTCCTCCTCCTCCTCCTCCTCCTCCTTTTGCTTTTCATCATCACTCCATTGCTCTTGTCTCCTCCTGCCGCGTTGCTGCCCTCTCGTCCTTCCTTATCGCCTCCTCCCTGCTCCCCCCCGTGCGCGGCGGGAGGGCGATGAGGGGTAAGAGGGACAAAATGGAGGAACGAAGGGGGAAAGAAGGACGAGATAGCAGGAGAAAGGGAGGGACTGGGGAGACGAAGAAACAGGCGGAGAAGGGAGATCCCAACTTGTCCTCTCAAGGTTTTCCTCGAATCCTCCTGAAGCCTGGAAACGCCCGTTCAAACCCATCTGCAACAAATCAAGTAAAACATAATGTTTTTACACCTGGTCCTCCCCACGGAGGTCTTAAAATGTTCCCGAAGGCCTCCGGAAGATTCTGGGTACAAATAATCCGCCGACCGTCGGCGTATGCGAAACGTTTGTTCATTTGACCCGTCGTCGTCGCCGTCGTCGTCGCCGTCGCCGCCCCTCTCTTTTCCCTGGGCCCTCCTCCCTCACTGCTCCAGCCAAGGCGGAACAGCCCAGTCGAAATTGAACGACGTCGCGCTTGAGTCGAAGGGAAACCCGTTCCCTTTGATCCCCTCCCCGCCGGGGGGGGGCCTGTGGGCACCCAAGAAACCGCCAGGAAACCCCAGGAGGCTCCAAAAACGCGCCCCAAACACCCCCAACACTTCCAGGGGTCATTGGGCACCTTTTGGGTGCCTAAATGTAGCCTCTTGGGCACTCTTGGGAGCGATTGGTGCCGCATTTCCCGAATGCCTGTTCCATCGCTGGGGCCGTCCAAGGTGGGCGGCACCGGCCGTAATGCCTTAGCAGTGTAAACAAAAACGCCCGACCGACAGCTTTGATCATCGATCCCCCTCCCCCCAAAAATTGTTTTATCAAAAGAAGGTACTGCCCCCTTCCCCTGGGCAGATTTCCCGCGGCACAGGTTCTTTCTATGGGCCCAGAGCTGGGGCCCAAAAGAGGACCCAAGTGGCCGAGAACAGCGGGATGTGGCCGTCTGCTGTTGTGCGGGATCGTCCGAATCCAATATTGTCGCGACGATCTTGCGACGACCATCCTGCAGATCGGACGATTGTCGGCGCGAGCTAGCCCTTAAAGAACACGCGCGCTGGAGGGCGAAGAGGGCGTCAAGATGCGATGCGATGCGACACCACCCCGGGGCCAGCTCATCCCGTTCCTCTCTGTGCCGTGCTCGATCTGCACAGGGCGCGAACAGCAAGAGGATACATCAATACTTTCGGCGCGCACGAAATTTATGACCCTAATTATACGCGGCGAGAGTCGACCCTAATTTATGACCCTAATTATGCGCGGCGCGCACGAAATTTATGACCCTAATTTATGACCCTAATTCTGCGCGGCGAGAGTGCCCACCTCTCAGCTCCTGCGGAAAAAGGGCCACACAGCGACCGCGCTGGCACGAGCAGCAACCTCAGGACTTCTGCCCCTTCCCACGACCACCGCCCCGATCACGACGACGACGGCCCCCTCCCCCCCTCCCCTTGTCCTCGGAGGGGGCAGGTGAAGGCTTCTGAGCCGCGGGTCCAACAAAAACCACGGGCAACAAAAACTCATGAGACCTGGCATTGTCGGTAAACGCCTCGGATGCGATCAGGACGTCGGAGACCCGCTCTTGCGGGGCAACATGCAAGTCCGACATGTCCCCCTACAGGCGGAGTTTGGGCGAAAGCCGGACACATACAACAAAAACAGGAATGTTAAAAACATCGCCCCCTGTCGCAGGCCTAGAGATTGACACCAACACCAATTTCGGTCTCGGTGATGGTGGTAATATTCTGGCTTCCAGGGTGGCCGAACTATTACCACCAACACCGAAAATCTGAGATCATCTTCCCCGTGTGGAGGCAACCCTCTGTCTTGGTGTTGGTGCCAATTTCCAGGCCTCCGACCATGTGCCATGTTTGTCCACTTTGGGATCTTCCCCCCGTAGAGAGACGCGCACCACTTCAAAGGCGGCGCGCGCGAGATCCCGGCGCGCGGGCGGACGCCGCGGCGCCGGCCCCGCGAGCTGGGCCGCCCGGGCGCCCGAGAGAGCTGCGCCCATCAGCGCGAGGACAGCAACTGTTCTTCTGGATTCGGGCCGAGGGCGATCCTCCTCCTCCTCCTCCTCCTCATCTTCCTCCTCCTCCTCCTCCTCCTCCTGCTCCCCCTCCTCTTGGGGAGGGAGGGAGGGAGGGAGGGAGGGCGATTTGCCAGCGAGGACCCTCCTGAGGCGCGGCTTCCCCCCCAATCTTCTACGACATGTGCGGAGGTCCCCGGCCCTTCGCGCGAGCGTTGCAGAACTCCGTCGCCGCAGTCGGCGCAGCGGGGGGCGCCGCTCTCACCGCGGCCCGCGCGGCCAGGAAGAACGTCGCGATGAACGGGGGGCCAGAGCATCTGAGATCCGCATCCACTCGCGCATCTTCCGCCCGCGCAACGCCTCCATCGCGCCAGCGTGAAGCTCGTTGGCCGTTGGGCCGGCCATCGCCGGGCAGCGCCCGAGCGTCGCCGGGAAGGTCTACGGCGCGCGAGCAGGCGCTGCTCTGCACCGCGGCGCTGGCGACCTTCGCGAGAAAGTCTCCGTCGCCTTTCCCTGTTCCAATGGCCCGATTGAGACGAGGCCCCCGCCCTGCCGCCGCACAGTCTTCGGCTGGGCGCCCTGACCCGCGGGACATCTCCTGCGATCCGAACTGGCCCGCGCCCGCGTCTGCGAGCTGGAGCGCGCGCGACGTGGGAACGAACGCGTCGATTACATCCCTGAGCACTTTGCGCCGTTGACCCGCACGTTGTGCAGGACAAGACTTCTGATGCCCGGGGTCGCGCGAGGGTCGGCGCTGCGTTTCGCAGACAACGTCCGCCCAGTAAAACGCTCATTCCATCATATGCTCTGATGATGACCCTCTGGATTTTGACCCCCTGAATTTGTCATATTATAATACCTTTTTTGCATATTGTACCATTTTGTTGTTTAGCATATCATAATACCTTATTAGCATATTATAACTCTTTTGCTTCAATCATCTATACTTATAATACCTTTTTAGCATATTATAACTTTTCGGCTTCAATCATCTATAATTAGAATGACTCCGGCTTCGGCTTCACAAGGAGGGCGAGGAGGAGGAGGAGGAGGAGGACGAAGAGGAGGAGGACGAGGAGGACGACGAGGACGAGGACGAGGAGGACGAGGGGGACGAGGAGGACGAGGAGGAGCAGGAGCAGGAGGAGCAGCAGCAGCAACTGCAGCAGAGCACAGCGCCAGCAGAGCAGCAGCAGCAGAGCAACAGCAGAGCAGCAGCAGAGCAGCAGCAGAGCGCAGAGCAGCAGCAGAGCGCAGAGCAGCAGAGCAGCAGCAGAGCGCAGACGCAGAGCAGCAGCAAAGCAGTAACAGCAGCAGAACGCACCAGCAGCAGAGAGCAACAGCAGTAGCAGCAGCAAAGCAGCAGCAGCAGCAGAGCAGCAGCAGAGCAGCAGCATAGCAGCAGAGGGGTCCAGGATATTTAAAATAGCGCTCCCGTTCGAGTTTTGAGTGGTTATATGGGCTCCGAATCATTGCTTTTGCTAAGGTTTTGAGCCTTCCATGTGATAGATACACTGTATCCAACGGGGTCCGCTAACGCTCACGCTCGAAAAACGGAAGGGCCATATTTTTCCGGCGGCCAAGATCAGGGGGTCAAGGTTTTCCGGCGGCGCGGATGTCTCGAACGGGGAGGGGGTCGAATTCTTCCGGCGCGGCTCCCTGATGTCTTACAACACCGCCCCTGGGGGTCAAATGTTTCCGGGGAATCTGGCGCGAGACATCCCAGAAATCCCCGCAAACATTATAATATACTAAAAACCAATTATAATATACTAAAAACCTATTATAATTAGCGAGCGGTACACGGACGGGGCGGGGGGAGGGGGGGGAGGGGCAGGGGAAGGGGCAGGGGGCAGGGGAAGGGGGTGGAGGGCAGGGGCTGGAGGGGCAGGGGGAGAGGGGGGGGGCAGCGCGACTGAGGAGGGAGAGGAGGGGGCCCTGCCAGCCGACTTGCCTTCTTTGGGACCCGCATGGCCCCAGCCCCTGCGCCCTGGGCCCTGGGCCCGTAGGGCCCAGGCTGGCAAGCTTGGACCCAAACCCAAATGGAAAAGCCCTTGGCCCCCTCCCCCTGGCATTCCTCCTGAGGTCCAGGTCCCCATGGCTCCTCCCGGAGCCCCCATCCTTGAGCTCGGCGGGATTCCCTCCTCCTCTTCCTCATGGTCCTCCTTCCTCCCCCTTCTTCCCCTCGCGCTCCTCCTCCTCCTCCTCCTCCTCCTCCTCCTCCTCCTCCTGCCCCTCCTCCTCGCCCAGCAGGGTTGGCCATCTAATGCCTAAGACTCCGTGGCGCCATAGCCATCCGATGCCTCGGGCCCTGGGGCGCCGTGGCCATCTGATGCCTAAAAGGCATGGGTTCCAGTATCAGTTAGCAAGCGAAAACATCGTAACAACAACAGCGGCAGCAGAGCAGCAGCAGAGCAGCAGCAGACAGGGCAACAGCAGAGCAACAGCAGAGAGGATGGAGGAGCCAAGGAGGATTTATTGTGCTGAAGTGTGCGCGTTGTGCTGCCCCTCTCGTATTATAATGATTTTTTAAGATATTATAATATAGTTGCTTAAAATTATCAGGCCCCCACCAGGGGGTCAAATTCCAGAGGGTCATCATCAGAGCATATGATTCCAAGCGCTTGGAGGCCGCCTGGCGTGCATTTTTCACAAACAAACAACTCAAGTGCAACGCGTGGGTTTTTCGGCACGCAAGCATGTGAAAGTCAAACACTAATAGGTATAATGCGTTGTCGACTAGCTAGACCAGACCTGTAACTCAATGTGCCTCCGCGCGGGCCCGCTTCATCTTCCCTGGGGCAAGCGCCCATTCGCCCAGTGACAAGGGCCCCCGACACCTCGGTCTCAGGGGAACCTGGCAAGGGGCATGTTCCAAGAGGGGCAAGACTCACAGCGAGGCAGGCGCCGCGGAGAATAGTCACCTCTCTCTCTCTCTCTCTCCTCTTCCTCTCTCCGATGGTAGACCATTCGGCCGCGAAAAGAACGCCGCCGGGCAGAGCGCGCCCTGCCGCAGTTCGGCTGCTTCCCTGGACGCAAGAATCAGCTGCTCAACGTCCGCGAGAAGCCTCGGCGCCCAAGCGTTTGCACCAGGCCTGGCCGGGGGCTGCCCTCGAACAACCGCCCCCCGGGAAATTCCCCGAGCCGCGCGGCGGCCGCCTGCCTGGCATTCGGGAAGACACAAAACCTGCCAATGCTACTCATGCCTTCTGACACGAATCGCAGGCCTGGAGGTTGACACCAACGCCAATATCCGTGGTGCGCCTCCACCGAGGGCAGAAGATCCCGATTTCAGCGATGGTGGTAATATTTGGCTTCCAAGGTGACCGAAATATTACCACCGACACCGAAATCTACGATCATCTTCCTCCTGCGGAGGCAAACCCCTGTGTTGGTGTTGGTGCCAATGTCCAGGCCTCCGAACGAAGCTCGCGGCAGAAGAAAGTAACCCCCCAGCGTTCGAGCATCTGCCAGGGGGGCCAGCTCTCGAGCGAGGCGCGCCTTTCCCCCGGCTCCCTCTGCCCCCCTTCGCCCCGCGAATAAAAGCCGGCCCCCGCGGGCTGGAGCGCGGCGCGCTCGCTCCGGCTGGGCGGGGCGAATTCCAGCGCCGAAAGGGCCTCATTCACTGCGCCTCTGATTCGGATGGGGCGTTGGCTTGCTGCCGGCGCCGCGCCGCGCGGGCGCGCGCTGCCTTCGCCACCCGGGCCCGCTGCCCAACGGCTGCGGGGGGGGGAAGGGGCCGCGAGCCCGCGCGCCGAACGGACGGGCCGACCCCGCGCCCCGCCCCTCCGAGCACGTTGGCCACTCTACGCTTCGCTTAAATCGGGCCTGTCCCCCTACAAAAAGATTTCCGACGGTAGATGCAATTCGCCCCAGATATAGCAAAAACAAAAAAACATCAAACAAATAATCCGGGGGCTTTTGTTTGACGGTGTGTTTTGCAAGTTGGGATCGTTTTGGGGCATTGTTTTATTTCACGTCTAGATCCCCCATGTAGGGGGACAGGCCCGACCTAGCGCTTCGCAGAAGGCGGCGCCGAAACAAATGGCAGCGTTCTCTTTCGGTTTTCTCTCGGAGCCGACCCCGGCGAGCCGAGCGCAGCGCAGCTCGCCATTCTGCCTCGGACTGTGGCTGGCCAGGTGCGCGGAGGAAGGGGGCCCCAGCGCGGGCCCCTTTCGCGCGTCGTCGGCAAACCCGGCAAGTCCCGAGCGAGCCCTCCCGGGACTCAAAAACTCCCACTCGGCAGCGGGGCCCGGCCCCCAGGCATCCATCCGCTCCGCGCCGCTCCGACGCGCGGCCGCCCGCCGCGAGGCGCAGCGCGCGCGCGGACGGCGGCGCGAAGAGAAGGCCCCCAGTAAGAAGAAAAAGAGGAAGAAGAAAAAGAAACACAAAACTGATGGTCGAACAACACGCACCCATACCCATGGGGGGGACGGAGGAGGCTATGGGTGCGCGTTGTCGGATGGGCCCCCCCGCGCGAACGCGAGCTTCCCCCGGGGCCCGACAACTCGCACCCGTGCCCATAGCCAGTCCCCCTCCTTTCGACCCTCCTATGGGTATGGGTGGGACTTGTTCGCTCGTCAAAAACGCAATGAACGCGAGCGACGGCGCGAAGAAAAGGCCCCCAGTAAGAAGAAGAAGAAGAAGAAGAAGAAGAAGAAACACAAAACGCAGTGAACATCAACCTCCGGCACGCCGCGCGGCAGTTCTCGGGCCCGCGCAGTGCCCCCCCCCCGCGGCGCGCCGCGCGGGGCGCGACGGGGAAGGCGCGCCGGCGGCGCCCCCCGGGAGGCCCCTGCGCGGCCCCGAGACATCCGCGCGCAGCTCCGGAAGCTGCGGCTCCTGCCATGAAGTCTTCTTCGACGCTCGGAGCGCGCCGCAGCCCCGGGCTAACGCATCGCTCAAGAACATCTGCGTCAACAGCCACGCTCCGAGTGGAGGGAGAAAGGAGAGTGAGTCGACAAGACAATGGGTGAGTTGAGGGGATGGGGTCTCGGGGGCCCCTTTGAGAGGACCCCCGCTGGGAAAGTTAATAGCTCAACCTCCGGTTCCGGCAGCAGCCCGCCCTCAGCTGGGGGGCCGCCCTCCGCGGGGGCGCCTGCGCGAGCCAACGTATATCGCCGGCGGCGTCGCATCGGCGCCGAGCCTCGCGCCGCGCCCTCGACGGATTCGTCGACCGCGCGCCGCGAGGGGGGGGGCGAAGGTGCCGCGTACACCTGCAAGTAAGCCAATCGAGTACAAGCAGGCTCCAAACGACAACGACGACGTCAACGACGACGTCGAACGACGACGGCGACGTCTCCGCGACGACGACGACGACGACGACGACGTCGACGCCTACGCCTCGCCGCCGACGGCGTCGGCGACGCCGACGTCGCTCGCGCCGGCGGCGACGACGGCCTCGCCGCGAGGGCAGGGCGCCTAGATTGCGCGCGGCCCCGAACCCGCTTGCCACTTTCACGGGGTCCACCTGCCAGGCGCAGGCTTAGTCGGTTCGCCTCAGCCAGATTGCGCTTCCGCCACGCGTCATATATCTCCCCCGCGAGCTTTTCGCGCCTTTCTCGCGCGCGCGCGCGCTTTCATTCCTTGGCGCGTTTCCTGGTCAGCCCCATCAGATGGGCACGGCGCTCCTCGAGCGACGTGAGACGTTATCTGAGACCCCCGCGCAAGGCCAATAGAGGTAGACGCTCCTTATTGTCTTGATCTTGGTCCGCAAGTGCGAGAAGTTCGAATATCTCCCGACCCTTCTCTCTCTCAGCAAGTCATCCAGCTGCTCCAGAAGAGAACTTGCGTTTTCAGATGCCAGCACATCTATGCTCAAAGATGCAAGTCTCCCTCCGCATCTGCATCGAATGTGCGTCGCTCGCTTGGTCCAGCAGCGGCCTGCGCCAACCTGTCTGCGCCCCACTTGGCAGCGCCATATTCGTCACAATTCGGAACCCGACAATTCGCGGGGGAAGACTTTTCAAACTCTGCGAACTCCAGCCTTGCTCTGACGAACACGGGAATGTGGCCACGATGCTGCGGCACAGGTATTTGCCGCAGTCGACCGCCTGACGTCTGCAGTAGGCCATGTGAATGTGTTTTCCATATGAGAGGGACAGACAGACAAGCAAAAAAAACATGATCGGTCAATCGTGTTGGGATCGCCGTCCGCGTCGAAAAACGCGTGGGCAATGCCTTCCGATGAGGTGGTCGAAAGATTGGCATGCTCCTCCACCCGGCCTTTCGGTCGAAGCCTGGCTTCCCAGAGGTGTCGCCCCTGTGTGCTTCCAAGCTCCACCGGTGTCTACCAGCATTCTGGCACTGCCCCTCCCTCTTCATGATTATCATACCATCTTTAACATCAGTAGCGATGGGTGCTGCCGCCGAATGGCCGACTGCGGGGACTCACCAATCGATTGTGATGCCCCCTCATTCACCTTCTCCAAGAGAGGACCAGTAATTGGGCTTGGCCTTTCTCTCGGACAGCTTCGGTGGATAGCACCATGCCACCACGCAACAAGACGTATAATGCAATCTAAACTGAATCCTGAAAACCCGGTCCTTGCAATCAAAGTGGTGGCGTGCGAATGCGTGGACTGCATGTATGCGGCCAACGGGAACGAAGCAGGAAGGCACACACAGCGCGCGCATTACTGAAAGATGCTGATGCCCACACTGCTACGGTAGCTGTCCGAACAAACACAGTTGTGGTACGATGCGGTTCGTTCACAGATGCGTTAGCTCCAAACCCATGCAATCCGATTGTCATTGTGCTGTATGCGGATCATTCAAGAATGTGAGCAAAAGAGCGGCAATCATGTACGTTATGAGCTGTTAGCCAGCTGCAGCTGCCGCGTGTAGCAATCAAAATGAATGCAGACCATGTTTACGCGCGTTCTTGCTCGAAGCGGCGCGTAGCTGAGAACCGGAAAGGCAGCGCTGGGAAGACGAGGGAAAGGACGAGGAGGAGGAGGAGGAGCAGGGAGAAGACGAGGAGGAGGAGGAACAGGAGGAGAAAAAGTAGAAGCAGGGCGAGGAGGAGGAAGGCAGGAAGTGGAAAAGGAGGAGCAAAAGGACAAGGAGGCAAGACCTTTGTAGCCTGTGGTCCTCCCTCTTCTCTCGTCTGGTTCCCCCCTGATCCCTGGGGCGTCGGGCTGGTGTCCTCTCGGGGCCGCGGTGTTTCACAATCTTCTCGACGATGTCCTTGACCTCGGCGCCGCCAACGCGTCGCCGCCGTCGCCGCCGCCTTCAGACGATCGAGGTGTTCGACAGTTTGGGCCATTCGTGGGCCTCCCGAGGCCTTCAGAGCGCCGGGACGACGTCGATGTCGTCGTCGTCGTCGTCGTCGTGGTCGTCATCACCACCGTCGCCGGCGCCGCCGTCGTCGCCGCCGACCGCCTTCGTTCTCGTCAGAATTGGCGGCCGAAAAGGAAGGATGAGGAGAAGGAGGGGAGGATGAGGCGGAGAGAGGGGAGGTCCGACTATTTCTGGGGATTGCCGGAGGTATTCTTAAACTGTCGGCAGTCATCACCAAATCCTTCGGGAAACTGTCGGCGAGGAACTGAGCTACCCAGCCTCTGGAAGTATTCGAAATCAACCTGCTTCCACATCAACTGCATGCAAAAATACATTCTGGAAACACTGCTCCAATTTATGTAGTGAGTATCCGCTTTTGCTTTCGGCGACGGTCGTAGGAAGGAGGGGGATCGAGTGATGCGACCGGGGTCGACCGACCAGAGAGGAGGAATTCGCATTGCCTTATGGTGTGTGTTGTTATTTCGGGCGATGTAGATCTAAAGAAAAGAGGTCACCCCAACGGTGCCTCATGGCCAGCCACATGCGATGCCCTGGATACGCGCATCCATACTGGATGCGCATCGGAGGCGAGCCTGGGCACGCAGCATACCTTGGTTCTGCGCCTGCTACGCCACAAAAAGAATCAGCCGGGAACCCATCAAACAAATACTCATCTCAGCTGCCCATCCGACACGATACGTTCGCCAAAACGTGGTCAAATACGTGGAGCCAAGACGCAACGTATTGACACGGAAGTCTTGAACACTGGACGTGCGTTGGCTGACCAAAGGGCGTATCGAGGCAACTGTGATACTCATGAATGCGCAGTTCACGAGACATCAATGTATGCGTGACGCCGACACAGGAGGATTCGATGCATCGGTCGAGGAGAGCGGGCCCTGGCTCTCTCCTCCGACGCAGTTTTTTTGCAAGTGAGCCAGAGCACCTGCTCTTGCAGGCGTGCCGGCTTGCCGCCCGCACATGCCCGGGCCTGGGCAGACTGTGCCTCCTGGCGACGGGGGGAGGGGAGGGGATAATCAGGCGAACGACGACTGACGCGCTGGTGGGAGGCTTGGGCAGGCGGGACGGAGGAGAAGCAGAAGGGAACGCAAAGAAGGAGGAGAAGGATGAAACGACAAGGCTCAGAAAAGGCTGCGTTTACGGAGTCGCGTCGCGGATTGGGCAACTGCGAGGGAGACTTGTCCAAATCCACCGCATGGGGACCCGATGTCCCGGGACCCTACAAATCGGTGGATATGTGGGCCCCAGGAGGCCGAAGCATATCGATGTCCACCGCCCCCCCCCCGAAAGACTATTCTCCAGTCGGTGATTCTGTCATCATGTGGGGGCCGACTCGTCTTACACCATCTATGGGTGCGTGGGTGTAATGGAATTTCGTGGCCGGATTCTGCTCATTGGCCGTTGCATTTCCACTTCTACAGAACAACGGTTGTTGATCATCCCCTTCCAGAGTACGATCGATTTGACAAGTGGAATTTCCCTCCGCAGGCTCGTACCCTGTTTTTTTTTACTATGGGTATGTTTGCGCATCAGGCTGGGTTGTTCATTGTTGGTCCTTGGACAACAACAACAACAACGTCAGCAACAGCGACGACAAGAACAACAACAACGACAACAACAGCAGCAACTACTAGCACGTGGGGACACTCCGTTCTCACCAGTGCCAGGGTTTTCATACGACGCCCGCCAATACCCCCACTTTGTGGGGGGGGCGGTTCAAGCTCTACCACATTTCCAAACGACTCTTCGCCACCACCCACACCCAGCTTCCCGCCCTATGACGTTCGGACACTTCACTTCGTGGCCTGCGGACGACCGTGGCTACTACACTGGCGCATGGGTACAGTGACTTGTTGTGGTAACATTTTCTGGACGCTAGCTTAGTATACGACTTTTCCCCCTGTTCCAACACTGGACACCTGTACTGGTTTTTGGTGGTAACGTTCCTGACGCTAGAAGCCCTGGCAGGTGCGCAACCGTTGTTGGAGAAGTTCGAAGCACGTGAAAAAGTTGCTCGCAAAAGCCCGTTTGACAGAAATGTTTAAAAAGTGTTGGGTTTCCTACGAATCCGCAAGAGCGCGCGGGATGAAATTTTGACATTTTTTTGTTGAAAAACCATTGGTTTTTTGATGTTTTTATGTTAAAATCGCTACGAACACTAAGGTTTTGGAAGGATTTCGTCTTGCGCGCGCGAATGTCCACTTTACCTTATTTTTTGCAAGGGATTCTTGAAGTTTGGTTATGTTAGAACAAGAAATGTCCACTTTGCCTTATTTTTTGCAAGGGAAAACCGCCCGTAACAAAACAACCGGATCCGGACCAACCCGTTTTGCCAGAGACTTCCTCACGAAAATGATGAAAACATGGCTGCGGCCTAGGCGCGGCGAGGGGGCCGTGCACCAGGGGTCCCAACAATAATTATTCTTTAGAAGTAATAATGTTCAACAATAACAACAGCACAACCACAACAACGACGACGACGACAATAACAATCATTTTGAGACTGTTCGCTCTTACCTGCTCGCGGGCTGGTCTACACGTCTATCACAAACCCTCGATACCCGCCCCCTTCGTTTTCGGTTGTACACCGTTGGGGGGACATCTCTGCCGTTCCTGCCACGTGTACTCGGTGCAGCGGTGCAGCCCCCAGAACAGAGGAGGAGAGGACCGATGAAAAGGGTGGGAGAAGGGTGGAACACGAGAGAGAATAGCAGGCGGGGAGGGGCTAGGAGCAGAAGACACGTGGCATAACTGGATGGACTGGTCGGGCGGGCAGACCCCAACGACCAGGTCGGCAGGCGGGCCCTGGCGACCTGGTCGAGCAGCCGGGTTCCTGAAGCGTGCGTCCTGCATGGATCAAGACGACATCTCGAGCGACAGCGCGATTCCCAAGTAGGTCGCTGGAACTCCACAGCGAGAGCGTAATTCGAGAGGGTAATTCCTGAGTGTTGAAGGCGCGGCGTTTGAACCAATTGCGAAGCAGTCCACGCGAGAGCGCGACTCCTGATAAATTGAAGCGACTGGGGAATAACTTGTGAGGAAGTATCAAGCGGGGGCCGCTGTTGCTGTAAACTGGGGGCCAGGGGCTCAGTTTGCGGAACAGACTGTCCCCTGGACAGAAAAACAAGGTGCGAGCCCTGGAAAGAGCATTTTAATTGGAACATGCAACGGTCACCCGAGGGCGGATCAACACTAATTATTCTTTAGAAATGAAAACTCAGCAACACCAATCCATTTAACACTGCCCCCTCATATCTGCACGAGTGCCACTCAACACGCATATCAAAAACCCTCGATATCTGCCCTCCTCGTCTTCGATCGTACCCCCCCTGGGCGCATATCTTCCTTACCTGCCCTGTGTGACCAGTGCAGCCCCTCAGACAAGGGAGTGGAGGACTGACGGGGGGGCGGGGGATGATGGAACACGATATAGATTAGCAGGGCGCTGGGGCCAGGAGCAGAAAACACGTGGCAGACCCAGACGGGCTCATAAGGCGCGTAGACCTTACAATGACAAAAAGGTCGGGACGGCGGGCCCTGGCGACCTGGTCGAGCAGGCGGGTTGCTGAAGCGTGCGTCCTGCATGAGTCGCGAAGACATCTCGAGCGAAAGCGCGATTCCCAAATAGGTCGTGGGACATGCACAAACAGAGCGTAGTTCCTGAATGTCGAGGGCGCGGTGTTTGAGTATATTGCGAGGAAGTCCCACGCGATAGCGCGGTGCTTGCATACATTACGAGGAAATCCTGCGCGAGATCGCGATTGAAATGAGTTGTGGGGAAGCCTCAGCCGGGAGCCGTTGCTGTTGGTGTTTTTAATTGGAGGCCCACAACATAGTTTGGTGGCACCCCACTTTCCTTTGCAAACAACAGGGTGCCAATCCCAGAAAAACATCATCTCAACTGAAACCTGCAATGGTTACTGGGAGGGGGTTCGACCACATTCATTCTTTAGGCATAAGACTTTAACCGCAGCAACAACATTGACAACTAAAACAACAAAACCAGCAACAACAACCACCACACCAACAGCACACAACGACGACGACGACGACAACATCACCAACACCAACAACAGCAGCAACAGCGACAACACTACTAACAGTACCAACAGCAGCAACGACACCACACAATAACACCAACATCAACGACAACATTAACGACGACAACCACCACAGCGACAACCACATTACCACCATCAAAAACAATCATGTTAAGACTGTTCGCTCTGTCCCGTTCGTGTGCCATTTGGCACGTATACCCCTAACCCTCGATAGCCGCCCAATTCGTGTTTGATCGGACCCCTTGGGTGTATCTTCTTCTCATCTGCACTGTAGCTTCCTCTCTTCTGCACTGCAAGGGGGGCGGAGGAGGATATAGCACGAGAGAGAGTGGCAAGGGCTAAGAACCACGCGGCAAAATCGGGCGGGTAGACCCCAACGGACAGGTCGGGAACGCAGGCCCATGCGGCCAGGTCGAACAGGCGAGTTGATGAAGCGTGCGTCCTGCGTGCGTCGTGCGGAAGTCTCCAGCGATAGCGTGATGGCCAAGTAAATCGTGAAACATCCAAAGCGGAAGCTTGATTCCTGAATGTCGAGGGCGCGGCGTCTGAACACATTGAAAGGAAGTCCCACGCGAGAGCTCGATTCCTGCATACCTTGAGAGGAAGTCCCGCGCGAGAGCGCGAGTTGGGAATAATTTGTGGGGAAGGATCAGACGGGAACCGTTGTTGTTGCTGTTGTTGTAAATTGGAAGCCAACAGCCCACTGTGGTGACACTTCGCTTTTCCTTGAATTCTCCTGGCGAAGGACCCAACCATATGCAATTGTGAATAACGCTTTGTGGGTGCCGCTTTCGGTGGGGCTCCTTATGGGGCCACGAAAGGCGTGCCACGAAACGCTGTCCTGGGCGTACGGTACGCATGAGGGCGGTAGCACTGGGGCCTTCGGTGGAGCTCCCTATGTATGGGGCCACGAAGCGTGTGAGGGGTGTGCCGAAATGGGTGCGGCGCCGCCATGCGAACGCAGCCACTGGGGCCTTCGGTGGAGCTCCCTATGGGGCCACGAAGAAGGGGTGTGCCGAAATTGGTGCGGCGCCGCCATGTGGACGCGGCCACTGGGGCCTTCGGTGGAGCTCCCTATGGGGCCACGAAACGTGTGAGGGGTATGCCGGAATGGGTGCGGCGCCGCCATGCGAACGCAGCCACTGAGGCCTTCGGTGGAGCTCCCTATGGGGCCACGAAGCGTGTGAGGGACTGGGGCCTTCGGTGGAGCTCCCTATGGGGCCACGAAACGTGTGAGGGGTGTGCCGAAATGGGTGCGGCGCCGCCATGCGAACGCAGCCACTGGGCTTCGGTGGAGCTCCCTATGGGCCACGAAGCGTGTGAGGGGTGTGCCGAAATGGTGCGGCGCCGCCATGCGAACGCAGCCACTGGGGCCTTCGGTGGAGCTCCCTATGGGGCCACGAAACGTGTGAGGGGTGTGCCGAAATGGGTGCGGCGCCGCCATGCGAACGCAGCCACTGGGGCCTTCGGTGGAGCTCCCTATGGGGCCACGAAACACGAATGTGAGGGGTGTGCGAACCGTGCGGCGCCGCCATGCCAACGCAGCACTGGGGCCTTCGGTGGAGCTCCCTATGGGGCCACGAAACGTGTGAGGGAGTTGACGAAATGGGTGTGGCTGACGCATGCGGGCGCGGGCACTGGGGCCTTCGGTGGAGCTCCCTATGGGGCCACGAAGCGTTTGAGGGGTGTGCCGAAATGGGTGTGGCTGACGCATGCGGGCGCGGGCACTGGGGCCTTCGGTGGAGCTCCCTATGGGGCCACGAAGCGTGTGAGGGGTGTGCCGAAATGGGTGCGGCGCCGCCATGCCAACGCAGCCACTGGGGCCTTCGGTGGAGCTCCCTATGGGGCCACGAAACGTGTGAGGGGTGTGCCGGAATGGGTGCGGCGCCGCCATGCGAACGCAGCCACTGGGGCCTTCGGTGGAGCTCCCTATGGGGCCACGAAACGTGTGAGGGGTGTGCCGAAAATGGGTGGGCGCCGCCATGTGGACGCGGCCACTGGGGCCTTCGGTGGAGCTCCCTATGGGGCCACGAAACGTGTGAGGGGTGTGCCGAAATGGGTGGGGCCGCCATGCGAACGCAGCCACTGGGGCCTTCGGTGGAGCTCCCTATGGGGCCACGAAACGTGTGAGGGGTGTGCCGAAATTGGTGCGGCGCCGCCATGCGGACGCACCCACTGGGGCCTTCGGTGGAGCTCCCTATGGGGCCACGAAACGTGTGAGGGGTGTGCCGAAATGGGTGCGGCGCCGCCATGTGGACGCGGCGACTGGGGCCTTCGGTGGAGCTCCCTATGGGGCCACGAAACGTGTGAGGGGTGTGCCGAAATGGGTGCGGCGCCGCCATGTGGACGCGGCCACTGGGGCCTTCGGTGGAGCTCCCTATGGGGCCACGAAACGTGTGAGGGGTGGGAGGAGGGAGGAGGGAGGAGGCGGAGGAGGAGGAAGGAAGGAGAGGAGAGGAGACGCGGGGCACCGTCTCTTCAAAACGAGGACCCAACACCACAGGATGGTTGGAAAAAAAAAACATGGTGCGAGCCCCGCGGGAACCATTTTACACTTGAAAACCTACAATGGTCACCAAGGGAGGGGAATCAGTAACAAACGACGACGACAACACCAACGGCTCACGACGGATATGTCTCTGCAGTCGGTATCGAACCATCTGGTTTTCGCTACAGGCTGTCTTGCAACGTATCCAAGAATCGGTTCTTGCCTGAGGCGTTATTACAAATTTTTTCACGAGTCCACGAATCGTTTTCACGGCGCCCTGGCATCGCGTGCTCGCTCTGGAAATGCTCAGAGCTTGCTCAGGACGCGCGCTCTCGCCTTACGCTTCCTGGCCATATTTTCCTGCCAGTCTCTCGTGGTAGCCGGGGCACCAAGTTTTTTTGCTCAACCAGCCTGTGGTGTGGAGCCCTTGTTTTGAAGAGACAGCGCTCCGCGTCCCCCCCCTCCTCCTCCCTCTCCCCTCCGCCTCCTCTCTCCCCTCCTCCTCCTCCTCCTCCTCCTCCTCCTCCTCCTCCTCCCCTCCTCCTCCCCCTCCTCCTCCTCCTCCATCCCCCCCTCCTCCTCCTCCTCCTCCTCCTCCTCCTCCTCCTCCTCCTCCTCCTCCCCCTCCTCCTCCTCCTCCTCCTCCTCCTATTCCTTGTCCTCCCCTCGTCCCATCCCTTCCTATGCCCTCCGCATGCCAACCGTGTCGGAACACCGTGCACACGTTCAGTGGCCCCACGCGGAGGTCCACCGAAGGGCCAGTTGCACAATTCGCACGTGGGCGCCGCACGCTTCGTGGCCCCATAGGGAGCTCCACCAACGGCATTAGAGCAAAGGGGGCGTTACCGCAAGCCACAGGAGACACTGTTCGCATGTGGGCGTCACGTGCATGTCGGTGCGCCCCTCACACGCCTCGTGGCCCCACATGGAGCTCCACCGAAGGCCCCAGGAAAACCGTTCGCATGTGGGCGTCCCGCCCGTCTCGGCGCAATCCGCATTTTCGTGACCCCCCCAAGGGGCTCTACCGAAGGCCCCAGAGTCACCGGTCGCATGTGGGCGTCACGCCCGTTTCGACACGCCCATCACACGCCTCCTGGCCCAATAGGGAGCTCCACCGAAGGCCCCAGTGGCACCGTTCGAATGTGGGCCACGTGCGTCCCCGCGCCCATGTCGGCACACCCCTCACACGCCTCATGGCCCCGTGAGGAGCTCTACCGAAAGAAATTCCCACAACGCGGCATTCATCACTGACCGCATATGGTTGGGTCCCTCGCCAGGGCGATGACAAGGAGAAGTCTTGCGCCTCAGACTGGACCCCTGGCCCTCGCCCGGCTCACAACAACAACAGCAGCACCAACAACACCAACAACAGCAGCAACAGCAACAGCAACCGCAACAGCAACATCGACGACAACAACAACAACAACAGCAGCAGCAACAACAACAACAACAACAACAATGGCTCCCGCTGGCCTCCCTCACCCTGTATTCAAAATCGCGCTTTCGCGCAGGACTTCCTCACAATGTATGCAGGAGTCGCGCTCTCGCGTGGGACTTGTTCGCGATGTATTCCAACGCCGCGCCCTGGCTGCTCAGGAATCATGCTCTCGCTCTGGGGCTGCTCAGGATTTCAATGCGGATCGCGCTATCGCTTGAGACTTCCTCACGATTCATGCAACAATTACGCTTCGAAGACCCGCCCGTTCGACCCGGCCGTCTGGGCCCGCCCGCCCGCCCCGCCCGATAGGGTCCGCCCGCTCGACCCGCCTGTCTGGTTCTGCCGCTTGTTCTCCTGCCCTTAACCCCCTTCCTGCTGATTCCTCTCGTGCTCCATCCATCCTTCTCCCTCGCCCCTGTCCCTCCTCCCTTCTTTCCCTCGTCTGGGGGGGCTGCGCCAACTAGACGTGGCACGTCAAGAAGGAAAACTCCCAAAGGGTGGTACAAGCAAAGACGGAGACGGCGGGAATCCAGGGTTTAGCACGAACAGTAGTCAAATGGTCGTTGAAACCGCACTATGCAAGATCAATTCGTTTTGACCGCCCTTCCCGTGTTTTTCAATTCAAGTGCAAATTTCGGGGCTCGAGCCATGGATTTAACAAGGGAGTGCCTTGCGCGTCAGACTGGGCCCATTGCCCCCGGATTGCAGCAACGGCTCCCGCCTGATATTTCCTCATCCCTGCCATCCCCTGTTTTAGGGACTGCGCCAACTACACGTGGCAGGTAATGAAGGTATGCCCCCAGGGGGGTACGATCGAAGACGACGAGTGTAAGTACCGAGGGTATGGGTATACATGTTGAATGACAAGCGAGAAAATAAGAGCGAACAGTCTCGAAATGATTTGTAATGTTGTCGTGGTCGTTGTTCCCCACGCGACCCACCCCGCGACCCACCAGAGACTCATACGCGACCCACCCACGACCCACCCTGCCCCTGGCCCCCGCACTCGTGTCCGCAATTGCAATGTACATGTAGCGGACAGGCCACCAGTGACTCCAGGAAGCGTCATAACGTGAGCGGATACAGAGACCTGGCGAGACAACTGGCCAGGGAGATATGAGGCCGCGCCCCCAAACAAAATCCCCCCTGGAGCGAGAATGGCAGCCGAAGGCCAAGGAGGAGGCCGAGGAAGAGCAGAAGAGAGTCCAAACCTAGAGCGTAAGAGAAAAGGGGACCTCAACAATGGCGGGGTGCTCAGCATAGCCCCCCGCCTCCGGGGAACGCCCCCGCGGCTTCCGAGGCCCCCGCCACGGACCCCGCCCGCCCGAGCTCGGTGACGGACTTGCGCGGCAGCGCAACTGGAGAAACCCCCGCCTCGGGGGGACGGCCCCCTCGGCTCCCGAGGCCCCCGCCGCAGAGCCCTCGATGACCTTCAGGAAGTCGAGTATGTTGGCCTCCCCTCCAGGAAGCGCCGCCGTCCTCGCCGCCTTCCCCTCCTCTCGCCCACCCTCTCGTGCACCCCTTACTGCCTCCCCACCCCCGTCTCCTCCCCCCCTCGTGCACCCCACCCCCCCTCTCTCGTCCTCCCCTCCCCTCCCCTCTCGTCAATTACACACTCTGAAGACTACTCTCCTCTCTCCCCTGACTCTGCCTGGAAGATGTTCGGCCCCCCTCCGCGTAGTGTTTTTTACACACAGGATGTCCGGCGAATTGGTCTTTCATACGTTTGTTCCACATCCGTCTCTTCCCGGTCCTTGAAAATTTTGCTCCCGCTGCAGCGCTGGCCTCATTTTCGGGCTTCTGCTCGTTCCGAATCGTGCTCCCGCTGCAACGCTGACCTCATTTCCGCGCTTCTGCTCGTTCCGAATCGTGCTCCCGCTGCAGCGCTGGCCTCATTTCCAGTACCATGCCATGGCATGCAATCCAATGCAATGGTGTGTTCCGCTGTGCGATGGCATACCTTCAGCTGCAATGCTATCATATGCAGCGCTTGACTGCGCAGTGCCACGCCATGCTATGTCAAGCTACGCGTTGATCTTCAACCCAATGCTATACCATGTAACGCTACGCCATGCTACCATCCGACTGCGCGAATAGAGAGGAGATCTACGCCATGGTAAGGGATGGGGGGGAGGGGTAGGACGTCAGATAAGACGCTTGCGCACCTAACTTGCCTCCCCTCCCCTCCCCTCCCTCTTCCTCTCTCACCCACCCTCCCGTTAATTACTCCCTGAAGGCCTCGGGAGGTCCTTGGCGGAGTCCCCCGGGCGGCCCCTTAGATGGGCCGAGACTCACAAGCTCCTGGACTCTCGCGGGTCGGGGCTCGATCCCCCACTCCCTCTCTCTCGCCTCGTGCTTCGCAACGTGGCTCCCCAAAGATGTCTGGGCCTCTGCCTGGGGACCACCTTCTCACCCCGAACGCTTTTGCTTGACGGTCCCGGACTCCGGCAAGGGCCCCCGGAGGCAGGAAAACGTTCAGACATCTCTGGCCGTGATGCTTCCACCATGCGGTGGGGTCTGGGCCCCCGCCCACTCTCTCCCCGGGTCCTCCCCTGTCCCGCTCTCGGCTGGGCCTCCCTCTTCCGCCCCTTCCCCTTCCCCTGCCCGCTCCCCACCCACCCGCCCTCCCACCCCAGCACAGGGGGGACAGGGGGAGGAGGAGGAGGAGGAGGAGGAGGAGGAGGAGGAGGCGGGGCTCTGCAAATATGTCCAGACCTGAGAGGGCCCCGGAAACGGCAGGGACGTTTTTTCACCGTTTCCGGCAAAATGTCCCTTGAACATGGAAACGGCAAAAAAACGGCGACCGGAAACGGCAACAAAAACGGCTCCAGGATTGGAACCAGAGCGGGAACCCGTAAAAGAACGGCGACGGAACCGGTAAAAAAACGGCGTCGGAACCGGCAACAAAAACGGCAAAACGGATCCGGTAAAAAACGGCCCTGTCGTTTCCAGGGCCCACTAAGGTCCAGACCCCCTCGCAACGTGAACAAAACACGGACCACAGGAGCCATTTTCGGCTCCTATGGGGCCTGCGGGCCCTCCTTGGACCCCGGGACAGCCAACCGACCGCTCGGGATCAGCGAACACTGGTCCCGGCGACAGGGGTCCAGACCACAGGGGTCCGAATCGTGAACGCCAACGCGACGCCGGACCTTTGGGTATCCAGAGGCTCCGATCGCCCACGTGCTCGACGAGGCTGCTGGGCGACTGCATGTGCAACACCGCCCTGGACGATCTGCCCCCGATCGCCGCCTCCGAGCCAGCGCCCCTCGACTCCGCTCCCCCCTCCCAATATTCCCCCTCCCCTAAGCACCACCCTCCCTTCCCGTCCTCACGCGGAGGCCACTCGTCTGGCTCGCTAGTCCACGGCTTCCTCTGCTTCCCCCTCCTCCCCGCTTCCCTCCCCTCCCCTCTTTGCCCCTATCCCCTTCCCCCCTGCCCTCCTCACCGCCCTCTCCTTTCCCGCACCCCCCCTCCTCCCTGCCGTCCCTCCGGACAGGCAAGAACAACCTTGGCAAGACGGACATCGTGCCGCGCACAGAAGCCTAGCATAGGCCCAGCATCGATCAGCAGACTATCACCACGAGTCCCTCAGCACTGCGGAGGTGCACAGCATTCGTACCGCAGGACTTGCCAGTCTTTCCCCAGGGCCCGAGCTGAAGAGCATGGGTTGCCTGAACGATCTGACGAATCGCGGACGTTCCGCAGGCCCAACGCCACAACTGAATCGGGTGCCCAGTCGCGCGGCTGTCTTATCGAGGGTACAATTGCCTGCTGGCATGAAACATCAACATGTTCTGCATCAGCGCACCATCAGACCCGCGTCTGGGGCTCGGCTTAATGCGTCTGAGAGCCCAGAAGGCCTTGGCTCTGGTATGGCGGCAAGGCAGGCGCGCTGCAAGACGTGGCACGTTTCAGACAACATACGAGATCCCAAGCGTGAACAACTCCAAAATATTGCCACACTACCATACTGCTACTACTCCGGGCAGGGAAACACTATGCGCGGCGCGAACAACAGGAACGAGCATCTTGGAACTCACCAGCATACACCGAACACGCGACAATATATAACAATGCCAATCTGAAACGCCGCCCCAGCATAACAACAACCGTACGTCCACAGGAAAGGACGCACCACATCCAAAATATGTAGATCCTAAACGCTCTCTTCGAAAACAACTCAAGAGCACAAGAAAACACGGAAACAAGGGTGCGCCCACAACCTCGGCATCCGCGCCATTTCAAGCAAGCAGAAATGATCGCCGTTGGCCAAAAGAGATCCAGTGGGTGGGCCACCGATGTGAGGCTTCACAAGACTGGAATGTACAACGCTTCTGGCGGGTACGTCCGCACTAAGGCCTAACATCGCCTGATGCAGACCCAAAGAGCTGACAGGCATGCACGCTGCGGACGAGTGAGATACGGAGCACTCGCCGACTCTGCTTTGCCCTGGATTGCACAACGCAAGCGCATCGCCCAGCAGCGGGAGAAAACCTGGTCAGTCAGGAGCTTTCGAGAGTTGCGCGAGGAACAGCGCAGCGAGGAATAAATAACTGGCCACGCTATTCCAGAAAAGCGCGACTGCCCCCGTCATCTGACGGGGATAAACGCTGCAATAATGGAAAGAAACATGTGGTCTGCCGCAGTTGCAACCAGTTTATGCTGGCTTCAGTGTCAGTAAATGCAAGAGCAACAAACACTGCATAAACATATGTTGTCGGAACTTCGCGCAAACTTCTTGGATCGGCGCTGGACCCCCTCCCTGGCGCGCGGAGCGATGGATGGCAGCGTAGGCGCCGCCAGGGGGCCCAGCGCCGATACCAGAAATCCGCGTGGAGCTTCCGAAGATTACCTTTAGTCCATGTTTTGTGTTTAGATGCCCAGACAGTTAACTCCCTGGACCACTTCTAGGCCAGGTTCGGCGAGGGATAGCCCACCTTGGCACCCACAGGTAATTCCCTATCCTCAAGGGCAACGACAAGGGGGGGACTGAGGGGGGGGGATCGACCTGGAATCGGCGATACATCACGAGATGGGCAATCCAGCGCATAGGGGTCGATGCATCCCCCCCTGAGCCCGTCCCCCCCCGAACGCTGCCCCTGATATCCCCTTCGCAACCCCGCGCGGATCCCATTACGTATCCACCAAGCTATGACGAACCGGGACGAGGATAACATCGGGTCAGGATAAATCGAGGATCTCTGAGATACGGAGGCTCTGGAGGATATCTCGGGCGCCGCGGCCTTCTCAGCATGTGTTACTGGTTTCGTTTGGTCGACGCGCATGGACCAACTTGGGACCCACATCGGGGGCCAACCTCACCCAGCGCAGTCTAGAGGTAGTCGAATCCGGACGGGGTCGGGCCCACCGCGGGAACGCCCGCACTCGGGCTATCTGAGCGCCATCCTGTGCCCCCGTCGGGACCTTCACGCCAATCAAGTGGCCCATCTCAGAAACCTTTGCGGCTATTGTTGGCGCCTGTTGGGCATCACTCGTGCCTTAGTGGGGCAATGTGGAGCCGATTTCGGGGCCCTTGGGGGGCCCTCTGGCAATTCCTCGAAGTAGCAAAGACAAATACAAGAAACAACTCATGACTGATCCGCGGTACTGGTGATGGACAGACGATCAAAGGATATTCCCAGCCGTCGATCAACGCATGACACGGCATACCCGAGTCCAATCGGCGATGGCCTGAAGAAACATGGAGCGTGGGGAGCAATACGCAACACACCTGCGGGACTGCTTCTCGCTGCTTCCAGCATGTATCCACCCCGACTGGTGCAGGCCCGTCGAACCACGACCCTCGATAATCAATTCTCGACCCTCGATCCCCAACCCTCGACCCTCGACCCCCGACCCCCGACCCTCGACCCTCGACCCTCATCGGGGTCCTTTCCGGCTACAGCCTGCAGCGCGACGGCCAGAGGGCGGGCGGGCTGCGAGAGCAGGAGAGTCAAAGTCGAAGGCATGGCCGCGTTCTCACGCGGCCATGCTCTTTTCTCCTCCTCCTCCTCCTCCTCCTCCTCCTCCGCCTCCTCCTCCTCCTCCTCCTCCTCCTCCTCTTCCTCGCCTCTGGAATAATCCGCAGAAGGCTCTCTGCTCCGACCTCTGGGGGGGGGGGGGGCATCCGAGCCGAGCGCAAAGGAGAGTCCAAGGCCTGGCGGTGCCCCCTGCGAGCGTCCGTCCGCCTCGCCCGCCTCGGGCGTGGCCGCCCCGTCCGACTTGGGCGTGGCCGACCCGTCGGTCTCGGGCGTGGCCGACCCGTCGGACTCGGGCGTGGCCGCCCCGTCGGTCTCGGGCGTGGCCGCCCAGCCCGCCTCGGACGTGGCCGCCCCGTCCCACTCGGGCGTGGCCGACCCGTCGGAGGCGCGGCCGGGCACCACATCGCATTCGAAAGCAATGTCGCCGGGAATGCTCGGCCACTCCCCTCGGCGTGCGACAGCACCGACCCGGGATGCCCCGGGCCCCGCCCTCCTTGAAGTGCTGGGCGACCTCCTTGAAGCGCTCCTGCGGGGCGGGCGCGCGACGCGGGGCCCGCGGCGCGGGACTCGTCGCAGAGGCCCCGATGCCGTCAGGCAGCCTCTTGGCGCCTTTAGTCTTCCCTCGTCCTCTTCTCCCTGGTGCAGTCTCCCCGTCTTTCGGTCCACAGGAGCTCCACGAGACGCCCGCGGGCGACACAGAGTGGCGCTCCGCCGCGGACGGGCGCGTCGTCACCGCCGCCGCCGTGGTCATCGACGCCGCCGTCGCCGACACTGCCGCCGCCGCCGCCGCCGCCGCTGCCGTCGTCGCCGTCGTCGTCGTCGTCGTCGTCGTCGTCGTCGTCGTCGTCGTCGTCGAGGAGGCCGTCTGTGGAGGCCCGCGCGCTCGGCCCAGCCGCGCCAGCCAGCCTCACTGCTGGCACTGGGCCGCCGCACGGCCGCCGCCCGCCCAGCCCATGCGCCCGGCCACCAGCGGCGCCACGGCGTCGGCCCACTTCTGGTGGCCCTGCACCGACCAGTGTGCCGCCTGCCGCAGGCGAGCCCAGAACCGAATCGATAAGTCGTTTCGGCGATCGAAACGAATCGGATCGGCGAAATTCGGCAGCCGAGTCGGGAAAAGGCGAATCGGCGGAATCCCAAGTCGAATCGAATCGGAATCGAAAACCATCGAACTCCAATGGAATCGAGTCGGAGGAACCGAAATGAGCCGTGGCCTGCCCCCAGTCCGCGCGATCGGCCACGTCGATCGCCGGCCTCGGCGCGACCTCGTGCAGGGACACCCCAGGGTGCCCCGCGAGCTCCGCGCCCCGGCGCCAGCAGCGGTCCATATCGGCGGCGAAAAGCGCCTGCTCTAGGTCGGGCATGTCCTCCTACAGGGGGGCTTTGGACGACCAATTTGAAATAGCCAGAATTATTTCAAAATGATCAAAAATGCTAGAACAAACTCGTTCCCAGAGCATTTGTTGTGTACTATGTTTGAAGATTCCCCCTGTGGAGGGACACGCCCGACTCAACGCCTGCTCTTCGAGGGTGGAGATGCAGGAGCAGAACGAGCTCGGGGCGGCGAGGAGGACCATCACCGCCGCGGACGGCCGCAGCGCCCGCAGCTGGCCCAGCAGCGCGCCGCAGGCCCGCCCGAGCTCCTCGTGCCGGCCCTCCGACAGCGAGTACCAGTCGTTGCCGCCGATGTACACGACCACGGCGTCCGGCTCCCAGCCCCGCAGCAGCCCGTTCTCCGGGGTCGCGGCCGTCGAGGGGTCGCCGCCCAGCAGGCGCGGCAGCAGCACCTGGAAACTGCCGTCGGCGCTGCAGCAGCCCGGGCAGTTCCACAGCACGCCGGCCCCGCTCCAGGCGATGACGTGGCACTCGGCGCCCAGCGCCTGCGCCACGAGGGCGGGCCAGGCGCGGTTGGCGTCCTGGTCCGCGGGGTCCATGTGGAGAACGTGGCGCCAGGCCGCGCTGCCGGGCGGCTCGCTGGGCTTAGGTCGGGCGTGTCCCCCTACAGGCGGATTTTGGACGAGAGGAAAAACACCCAACTAATATTCACACATATTCAAAAAATTCCCCAAAATCGTCCCCGACTACTTTTTGGGGTTATTCTCTTGCACAGGGTGTCTAGCGCTCCGACCACTTTATTTCGGCACCGCACCCCCCCCCTTCATCATCATCATCGTCATCATCATCATCACCATCATCCTCACCATCATCACCATCATAATCACCATCATCATCATCATCATCATCATCATCATCATCATCATCATCATCATCATCATCATCATCATCATCATCATCATGCGCCCCCTCCGTCTCAGCGCCCTCCCGCGGCTCCAGCGCCCGCCCAGTGCCCCCTCCGCCCTGACCACTTTATTTCGGCACCGCACCCCCCCCCCGCTCCGCCCCCTCCCCCGCGCCGTCTCAGCGCCCCCCCGCGGCTCCAGCGCCCGCCCAGTGCCCCCTCCGCCTCGACTACTTCACTTCGGCACCGCACCCCCCCCCGCTCCGCCCCCTCCCCCGCGCCGTC